AAAAAAAAAAAGCAGACTGCCACATCTTTCTCTTATGGAGCCACTGGTGGGTACAAACACGTCAACCTTTAGTTAGCAGCCCAGTGCTTAACTACTGTGCCACCAGGGCTCCTCAGCTGACCAAAGTCGCTTGTAAATGAGAAACTTTGGGTTCTCCACCACAGCTCCATCAAACGGGCTTCAGAGGGCCTCTCAATTCCATAATGTTATACGAAAAATATTACAATTACATGTAAATTTTTTTTCTAGGAGATAAGGTCCAAACTTCTCAGGTTCTCAAAGGGGACTATGACCAGTCTTAGGAACCATTTTACTAGACTACAAGCTCCTTGAAGGAGGGAACATGTGTTTTGCCTGACGGAATCCCTCACTAAACCCCTGCCTACAGGACTTATTCCAGGGTAGATGTTCTATAAATGCATGCTTAATGAAGCCAGGATGGCAGTGGACGTGGGGATCACCCAGGATTTGAATGGCAAGACTTCTACACAGATGAGGAAGGAGAGTAGCAATTCTAGGGTCTAGCTCCTGCCCTCCACTTCCTGGAGCAGGTTCTCACTGCGCAAGTCCTCAGGTGCCCAGACATTCACCAGCAGGCAGTAAAAAGGCCTGGAATTCCCCTTCCTCCAGAGCCCTGGGGGAGGTCCCAAGGAGGAGGGAAGTACAATATTTGTGGAAAACACCAGGAAAAAGACAAGTTGCCTGAGAGGAGGTGTCTGCATTCCCCAGATACCAATCAGGAGCTCTCCCAGGGTAGCTTCTCCCCGCTGGCATTCTGGGAACTGCCAGACCAGCTGCCTGCCCACGCCCACAACCTAGCAGGCCAAGGCAAGGAGATGGAGGTGGGGCTGGGGCTGACCGAGTCATGCTTGCAGAAGCCAATTATTAAACTGTCAGGAATTTTGCAAGCTGGCTGACATCACATTGGTAGCGTGAAATGGGCCATGGTAGAAACTGGTAAATGCCACAACAGTGGCCTCCCCCCACCCCATTTCTGAGAGCCAGTTGTTAAACATTTACCAGGACCACACTGGAAAGAGCCCACTTGGACTCAGCCAAATTTGACCATGGAGCATGACAGCCACTGCTAGCCAGGGAAACAGGCTGCAGCAGAGCTGGGGGCAATCCTTTTCTCTGGCAGGGGCTCATTCTCCCGCTTCTAGTGCCAGGAAGCAGCTTCCTAGGACGTCACCATGGTCTCATCAAGCAGGACACCCAGAGCATCCCTCAACTAGCATTCTGTATTCAGCCTTGAGGGGCTAGCAGCAGGACACTACACACAGCCAGGCCCAGTTACAAGGTGGGGCAGGGAAAAGGCCCTTTTGTCCCCTGGAGCTTCCTTCCCTTTGGACTTTGGGTGTGTCCCCACATAGCCCCCACCCTGTCATACCAATTTCTCTCCTCTTTCCAGCTCCCAGGCACCACCAGCTCCCTGCTGCAATTAATCTGGTCCCCTCTGGCCTCCACCGAGAACCCTTCTTTGATCAATAGGCCCCAAGGCAGCAGCCCAGAGTCCAGTGGCCAATCACAAAGAGCCAGGGCTAACACCTACCTGGCTGGGCCCCCTCAGGCTCATCGCACCCTGGAGAAATAGAAGCATGTTGTAGCTCTGCTCACAGGAGGCAGAGAGGGCACCCAGGGGGGTGGGGCCCAGCCTCCCCAGCTCTGCCTTGTGATGTGACCTTGCAGGCCACAATGATGTCAGACTCTAACACACATCACTACTGTAATCCTCCTAGCGACTCCATGAGGAAGAGATGAGTTCATGTCCTCCCTCAGGTCCTCCTGCTACAGAGCAGAGCCATGCCAGGCCCTGACAACTGCCTAGCTGGCCCAGCAGGCCCAGCCATGTGGTCCCAGCAGCAGAGCTGAAATCAAACCCAGGGCTTTCTGACTTCTCAGTCACTAGGCCACACTGCAGGAGCTCTGGTAGCATAGTGCCTAAGGAACTTGACTGCTCACCAGAAGGCTGGCAGTTCAAACCCACCAGCCACTCCTCGGAAGGAAGGTTGGGCAATCCTACTTCCGTAGTGATACTGCCTCAGAAGCCCAAGGAGGGGTCGCTATGAGTCGGGGTGACTCAACGGCAAACAACAACAACAACAGGCCACACTGCCTCCCACATTTCAGCCACCATGAGACAATAGAGTCAGAGGTCAGGATGCAGTTACAGGTGACTGTACCGAATGGCAATCATAAGTCTGTGATTTTAAAGAATGGCACCTGTGCTCAGGAGCTCCAGGGCCAGGGGTCAGACTACAGGGTGGGCACCTGCCCTCTCCCCCAGTCCCCTTCCCTGTGGCGTGACAAGCTGGCTTTTCCTGTGAGAAAAAAGGTGCAATGCTGGCTGTGCTCACCTGCCACCTCCACAATCTGGTGCCGGGCGATGTCGTAGTAAGGGTCATCCCACTTCAGGTGTGTGACAGGTTCCGGGGAGCTGCACTTGGAATCATCTGAGGAACACAGCCAAGTAAGGGGTCAGCCCAGAGGGCTGATGCAGTGCTCACCAAAACTCATGCTCTTTGGCATGGCAGCCCCCCAGAAAGACTTCTGATCCTGCCCCACCCCCACCATGAGGCTGCACTGCTTGCCTCCATCTCGCCCTCCCAAGGTCTCCCTTTAGCAAGAAAGGGTCTCCCCTCTTAGGGCTACCTAAGATCTGGCAGCACCCACCTGACTTGGGAAAGTCTGGCATTTCATCTGAGGGCCAGTTCTTCTCATCAATGGAGGCCAGCTTCAGCTGGTTCAGAGCCTGGCTGCTGTCATCTAAGGTCATGTCATCCTGCAGCTCTGAGAGGGGGTCCATGGCCAAGCCTGACCCCCACTGCCTCAGTCCACAGTACCTGAAGAGAAAACTGAAGGAGAAAGCGGGGGATGTGGCAGGTCACTGTCATCTTTCTACCTCCTGTAACTTCGACAGCAAGCCTCCCCATTTCAAACCCTCCTGCCCTCATCCTTTCCTGTCCCATGTTCAACACTTCTCATCCATGCCAACAGCTCCGTGCAGCTCTCGGTTTTCCTGGCTCCACAGTTCAGGCATGTTGCCAGAAAATGCAGCTGGGGCAGAGGGTGGCACCGCTCAGCACCTCCCTCAGGTCCCCCAGCTGCAGAGAACAGCCATGCCAGGCCCTGTACTGACCACCACACAACTGGCTCAGCCATGTGCTCCCAGCTGCAGAGGCTGGAGGTTCACATCCCTCTCCTTAGGGGCCCTGGAACCCAGAAACTTCTCAGGACCCTGCAGCTACAAGGATAGAGATACTACAAGAATCCAAGGGACACAGACCCTATGTCTGAAACAATTCACCTGTGTCTCTGGTTGCTCTATCCCTCACCCCTGCTCTGGAGCAGGGGAAGTGGCCAGAAGTTACAGGGTTGCAGAAAAAAAGGTCATGGCTCAGAAGCCCGGAATAGAGGCTTGCCTCAGAACAAGGACCAGCAGCAAAGGAGTGGAGTTGGCCTGCCAATCACAGAGCAGACAATCTGTAGGTTCCTAGGGGCTCCCAAGCCCACAGCTGACACTAGTTTCAAGGTGGGAAAGGTCAGTAGAGTGCTCCAAGGGTTGGAGGGCACAAGTGGGAAAGGGCGAAACTTATGACATGGAGTGCTGAGGCCTGGGAGGTGAGGAACAGACAGCTGGCAGGAAGGGAGAAGTGGACAATGAGACTGGGTTTCCCTGAGTCTGAGATCTGGTCATGGCCGTAAGGATGTGGTACATGCAGCCAAGCAGGCACCTTCTGCTCTCAGCCCTAATGGGAAGCAAATCCCTCTCCAACCACAAGTGCACCACATGGGTGAGGGAGGGGAGTCTCAATTCAACCCACTCAGTCCAGCCTCAGACAAGAGGCTGCTCCAAGCCCGACTGCATTCTTGGAGCCCAAAAAGGGACATATATGGTCAGAGAATCAGCAGGACAGATAAGGAGTACAGACAAGAGCCAGGGGCGGGTAGGGAGAAGAGGGAGAGAGAACTGCCATCTGAGATCCAGAGCCTGAACACCTCAGGGCTCTGAGGCAACATGATAACTTCCTACACGCATCATAGCCAAGGATTTTGGATGGCAAACCAAACCGAATTCCCGTGCCTAGCAACAACTGCCCTGTTACCAGGGCAACCACATTGAGTCAGCGGGAAAAGCTGTTTCAGGCACTCAAGCCAAAACCAAGAGAAAACCATTTTCTCCTCCTCTTCCCTGACCTTATCCACTGCTCTCTCATCTTCCCCTGCTTACCCCTTAGATATAAATCCCTGCCCCAAAACACAGAGAAAGATGACTCGCTCACGGTTGGGATGTATTTTTCTCTTGGTGAGTACTGTTGTGCCCCTCACCCCTGAAACCCAGCTGCCCACTCTCCTTCAACCTTCTAATGCAGGCAGTCCTCAGCCTTGAGGAATTCACCCCTGATCTACCTACACCCTCCTCCCCTTATTCAACCAGGAGACTGTGAGTCTGCTCCCTGGAAAGGGCCCCCAGCTAGGCAGCAGGGTGAGAATCCAGCTCAAAGCAACCCCTCCAGATCTGAGCCACTCCCCACCCCTCTGTTCTGTCACTGCTCCGGTACTGGGTGCTCCTTCAGCCCTCCCACCAGCCTTCCCAGAGGAACCTTTCGGCACATAGTAGGCGACCGATGTGAAGGAAAAAGCATGGGATGAAATATAGAGAACTGACTTAAGAGTCCTGCCTAAGCCACTGCGTTGCAAGCCCTTCTCCTATCTGGGTCTCAATTTCCTCATCTATAAAAGCCAAGGCTCCTCCCAGAAATACAATTCTCCACTGTTCTAAAATGCTTGTGCTAAAGTGAACAACAGGATTAGAGGAACAGCTGGGAGCTGAGGTATGTGTGAGAGAGGGACAGGGACACTCTCTAAAAGGGAGCTGAATTTGAACTCCACCTCTTTTCCAGCATTCCCTCCTGTATTCTATCCGTTCCGATTCCCCCCACCCCCACCATAACCAACCTCCTCTTCCAGCATGGCTAATCAGGGTTGTTCCACCTCCCTGCCAGACTGGCTTCTTTCACCACCCTTCAACCCACAGCTGCTGTCCTCTCTGAGCTCATTCATTGGTGAGTGAGGGAAAAAGGTGATGGAAGTGAATTATTCTGGCTGGTTTAAGACCCCAGCCACCCATAAAACACTGCTCCAATCTGTGGAAAATCTTCTCTATTCTGAGACAAATGTTTCCCTTTTCAGCAGGTAAACCACCTACCTTCACAAAAATCTGAGAACCCCAAGTTTAATTTCGAGAAGTCCTGGACCTCTCTGATGAAATGTGTGGACCTTTACCCTAAGAAAAATCAACACATGTATGAAATCTGTCGTGCAATTTTATGGGCTTTACAGACCCTTTGAGAACTCCTATTTAAGAACCTCTGACCTACTGAAAATAATGTCTAGGACACAGTTAAGGGTCAACAATACCTGTTGAATGACTAAATCAACTCATCTCTTAAGTAGAAAACGGATCAAACATTTGCTGAGGGCCTACAAGGCACCAGGAAATAGACAAATCTCTCCCTTCACAACAACACAGCCAAGCAAGTATTATTAAACCCACTTTACAGTTTGAGGAAAGTGAGGACCAAAAAAAATAAGTACATTGCTTAGGGTCATACAGCCAGAGTGTTAGGATTTTAATCCCTGTGAGTCTGAGGCTGTCTTCTGGTAAAAAGGTCAACCTCTCAACAATTCTCTAAGTACCTCACTGATGTGGTTCTCAAGGGTCAGAGAGAAAACCTGAGGGACAAAAGGGCAGACTAAAGCCTCTCGCTTTATTTTCACTTCCGCTCAGAACAGGGATAGCAACCTGATGTGGTTATTCTCAGGCAATGGAACCGCACTGGAGCCCACGCTCAGCATGCAGCCCTTCCGGAGAATGCTCAGAGCCTCAAGGAGAAAGAGTGGCAGCTCGAGAACTGCAAAAACCCGAATCCCACCACAATACAACTACAGTCGCGTTTGCATAGAGCTTCTTGCCTCACAAATCCCGGATTGGGTATAATTATCCCATTTCACAGATTAAGAAATTGACATGAAAGTGTAGCCTAATAACTGGCATGGTGGAAAAATTCCCCCATTACTCTTCTTGGTGCTTCGTTAGATTGGACCAGGGAGACTTCCCCCCTCCCACAGGTTGCTCGAGGACAGCGATCTGGCCCGGGAATGGCACAAGAAAGTGAAGGGAGAGAAGTCCTTTCACTGCAGACCCCGAAGTGGGGCAGTGGGAAGGCCAGGCTAACCTTCCCCTTCAAATCCTCTCCTCAGATTACTGGGGTCCTCCCCATTGGGATCCCATCCCTTTAGACGACCCCGGCTAGACTCCTCCCTTCCCCCAACCCCACCCGAGGAGACCCCCGCGCCCTGCAGCTCACCGCGCTCAGGCACTGCTCACTCTGCCACGCCTGTCAAAGCTCAGCAAACATCCGGCTCCGCCGTGAAACGGGAACCGCCCCCTCCCAGTCTCTACAAGCCACAGTCCCCAACCACTTCCGCCACACCTCCAATCCACTTCCGGCCCGTTGCCCGGTCCAAGCTGGTCTGTTCAGGATCCCCGCCCACTTCCTGAAGGTGGCTGCTGCTTAAGTGCCCGCCTCGGGGACTTCAGCATAACTGTCCGAGTCTTCTCCTTCCCAACAGGAGATGGTTGAAAACATTAGTTCCGATTTCCCTGATACCCGAATCTCAGGCGTATCTCCGGAAACTTAACATTCGTATTGTCCTCGGACAGAGTTTTGACAGTACTTTTTCATAAGTACTCTCAAACTTCCGGTCCTGTGCACAAATGAGGCCCGACTCGTAGACGTCTTTCCTTAGAAGTAATTTGGAAATCAATGACTGTTTCCGGGAGGAGCTGAGGAGACAACGCTCACTTCCGGTGGCATGAGGGTGTCTGACCCGGGATGGAGGAGGCAGAGGAGCTACACCTGGAAGGAAAGAGATCGCCGCTTGGTGAGTGACCTGCAGTGTATGCGGCCTTCAGCTTTGGACGGGATGGACCTAACGTTCTCTAGTGAACTCCCTCTCCCCGTCTATGCTCCTTCTGAGCCCAGGATCCTTCTCCGACGCCCTCAGAGTCAATGGGGGCCTTTTAAGAGCCCCCGAAATCTTTCCGATCCTTGAAAGGCTCCCTTAGAGCACACAGATACTTGAGTCTCCTGAGGCCTAGCTGGACCTGCGGCTGCCTCCTGCACCTTTTCTTGTCCCCTCCATCTTGAACCATTCCCTCACCGTCGGCCGCCCCCTTACAGTCTTCCCATGTGCCTGCAGCCCCCGAGCCGCGCCCGAGCCCACACTCAGCATGGACCCCTTCCGGAGAAGGCTGCGCTCAGAGTCTCAAGGACTTCCCACCGGAGTCGGCCCGCGCCATACTCGCTCTAAAGAACCTCCCCCAGGGTTTGGCCCTTGGCCCCTCACTTGCCAAAGAGCAGCGCCTGGGAATCTGGTGTGTCGGGGAGCCCCTGCAGCAGGGACTGCAGTGGGGGCCACTGGAAGAAAACTTTGTCTCCGAGGAGAAGGGCGAGGAAGTGGAAACCCGGCAGGAGGAGGTACTGAGGGATAGGGCGCCTCCTCGCTGTGATGGAAAACTTGGGGACGTTAGGACATTTCCGGACAGCCCTCCAGGTTGTTGGATGAGGCAGGGTATTTCCTGCAAGACAGAGACGGTTTTGTTCCTTTTCTCCAGGGTGGTGTCTCCCCATCGTTTGCAATAGTTAAAAGAATGGAGGTGCAGAAAGTACATTAGCATACTATTAGCGATGACAATAGTCAAAAGGTTTTGAAACTAAAAAGGCTTGGGTCAGAGATACCAGTCTTGTCTTGTCGCATCCTGACTTGTTAAATTATATGCCACCTTTAACTCATCTGTGAAATAAAGGAACATAATGACTAGATCAGATACAGGAGCCCTGGTGGCTCAAACAGTTAAATGGTTTAGGACTTGGCTGCTAACCAAAAGGTTGGTGGTTCTAACCCACCAGCTGCTCCATGGCAGAACTATGTGGTAGTTTACTTCCGTAATGATTTACAGCCTTGGATTCGAAGCCACCCAGTAGCTCTTTGGGAATAAGACATGGAGAGCAGCTCCTATACAGATTACAGCCTAGAATACCCTATGGTACAGTTCTGCTCTGTCACATGGCATTACTGTGAGTCAGAAGTGTCTGGACAGCAACTGACAACAGATGAAACAATTCAGTAAAAGGTATTGTTATATGACAAGTACTGAAAAAAGTTGATGTTCCCCTTTTGTTTAGTATGCACTGGCAGGCAAGAACGTGTTTCATTTAGTAATTCTCCCTTAGGAAGGTGATGAGGGCACAGTTTTTGGTCTTTACTAGTGAGGCATTGGATAATGCAGTCTTGTAGAGGCAGAATCATAGGCCACTGATCTTCCACAAGCTTCTTCTTGGATCTGTCCCAGAAGAAGTTCCATCCAGTTTTGTTTTCCCACCTTGGGCCCCTTGAACACATTTGAGAAGGACTCTTACTGGTTTATTTCAGGACCTGTCACTCAGCCCATGGCGAGATGTCTGTGCCTGTGAGCAGAGTTCAGGCTGGACCAGGTAAGCTACAGGAGACTATGTAGAGAAGATTGTTCCTTTGATGCTTTCTGTTATGGCTTCAGGAGGCTTGGTAGCATGGTGGTTAAAGGCTTGGCTACTAACCAGAAGGTCAGTGGTTTGAACCTACCAGCTGCTCCATGGCAGAAATATGTGGCAGTCTGCTTCTCTAATGAGTTACAGCCTTGGAAACCTGTGGGTCAGTTCTGCTCTGTCCTGTAGGGTTGCTGCAAGTCAGCAGTGACTCAACAGCAGTGGGTTTGTGGCTTGAGATAGGATATGAAGCAAGCTGTAATTCCTCACCCAATGAGCTTGCACAGTGAGTATTCCAAAGGCATGAGGTCCTTTAGGACTCCAACTGCCTGGGAGCTGAGGTTTTCAAGGAAAGCCCCTTGAAGATGGCGTCCTCATCTAGCTCTTGCTCTCCTTTGCAGTTTGGTGCAGCAGGGCAGGCGGGAGAGTGAGGGAAACGTGGCCCCAGTGCGGATCAACGAGAGGCTCTACCTGCAGGTGTTCCGGGTTGTGCTGCCAGGTTTTGAGCTGGTGCTGTGGCCCCGGCCTCCCTCTGAGGACCCAGGTCCCACCCAGCCCAGGCTAGAGGAAGAGGCAGCCACGGCTGTGGTAACAGAAGTGGAGTCTGCCGTGCAGCAGGAATGGGCCTCCCCTGGAGAGGATGCAGCCGAGCCCTGCACAGGTACGTGTCAAATGCCGGCTCCTCGTGTTATCACCACCACAATCTGTTGGTGAGACAAAGCTCATGGTGTGGCTTAACATGGAGAGAGGGAACACAGCAGAGGCTAACTAGCTTCTCTGAGGGGAAGGGCAATGTTGGACATTTATTGAGATTTTGAAGTCTGGTGTAAAGTGGATCTTTCAGTGCAGGATTGGGTACTGATCATGACAATGGTTTAGGCTTGGTTGACACAGCAAGGCTGCTAGAATTTTCAGGCAGGAGGTTCAGAGGGTCTTGGGGTGTAAACTATCATTTAATTTCTATTGAAGAGTGATAGTTCTTTCCCTTGGAATGAACAATAAAATTATTTCCAAGTTTTATCTTCCTAAGCAAGAGTTTCTGGAAGAGTAAGGTTATTTGATGAAGAGAGTAAGCTGTGTACAAAGTTCCATCTCTTATGTTTCTTCTGGGTGAGGGTTGTCCTTGATTTTACAGATGAGCTCAAGGGGGTAGGTCAAGACCTACATCCTAAATGGCTACCTCCAGAGGGAAGATGAACAGACCTTTAGGATGGCCTTACGCTAGAGATTATTGCAACTGACCGGGGCACCATGATTTCTAGGAGTGCTCTCCAAGAAGGCACTTGAGACTGGACAGAGAGATAGAGTGTGTAGGTGGTGCTTCAGGGAAGAAATTGGTGTCATTGCTCCCACTGAGGTTCAGGGGTTGGAAAGGAGAAAACACATGTTCCTGTAATTTCCTCCTAACACCACTGTTGCCACCTGCTACCAAACTGTACTAACCCCAGCACCCTACTCTTGCCTTACAGATCTCGGTCATCAGTGGCACTCCAGTCTCCAGGCAGAGAATACAGTGAGCCCTGGACTGAAACCCCAAACCCAGGACCACCTTCCCATGGGTAGCCAATCACTTGGCCTATTGCTTCATGATGGCAGTGTGGACGAGGAGGACCCACCCCAGACACAGATGCCTCCTGAACCTGAGAGCAGCCCAGCTGTACAGCAGGGCCCAGCGAGCAGTGAAACCAGTTCCTTCTCCTCTTGCAAAGTCACCCAGCTCCATGCCTACGTGGCCAAGAAGTCCTGTAGCCCCAGTGATCAACACCTATCCAGAGCAAAGACCTCAGAGCCCAAGGACCAACAGGCCAAAGAGCCCCAGGACCCTGGCCTCCCTGCACCCTTGTGGAGCCCTTCTGGTCTGGCAGGCAGTGCTTCAAAGCAGGGGCGACGGTACCCATGTGGGGAGTGTGGCAAGGCGTTCCTGCAGCTGTGCCACCTCAAGAAACACGCATTCGTGCACATGGGCCACAAGCCCTTCCTTTGCACCGAGTGTGGCAAGAGCTATAGCTCAGAGGAAAGCTTCAAAGCCCATACGCTGGGCCACCGTGGGGTGCGCCCCTTCCCCTGCCCACAGTGTGACAAGGCCTATGGCACCCGGCGAGACCTCAAAGAGCACCAGGTGGTACATTCTGGCGCCCGACCCTTTACTTGTGACCAGTGTGGCAAGGCCTTCGCCCGCCGGCCCTCCCTGCGGCTACATCGCAAAACCCACCAGATGCCAGCTGCCCCTGCCCCGTGCCCATGCCCTGTGTGTGGGCGGCCTCTGGCCAATCAGGGCTCCCTGCGGAACCACATGCGGCTCCACACAGGGGAAAAGCCCTTCCTGTGCCCACACTGTGGCCGAGCGTTCCGTCAGCGGGGCAACCTGCGCGGGCACTTGCGTCTACACACAGGGGAACGCCCTTATCGCTGTCCGCACTGCACAGATGCCTTTCCCCAGCTGCCTGAGCTGCGGCGCCACCTCATCTCCCACACTGGGGAGGCCCACCTGTGCCCCGTGTGTGGGAAGGCCCTCCGAGACCCACACACGCTGCGTGCTCACGAGCGCCTGCACTCGGGGGAGAGACCCTTCGTGTGCCCCCAGTGTGGCCGCGCTTACACCCTGGCTACCAAGCTGCGGCGCCACCTCAAATCCCACCTGGCAGACAAGCCCTACCGCTGCCCCACCTGTGGCATGGGCTACAGCCTCCCCCAAAGCCTCAGGCGGCACCAGGTCAGCCACCAGCCTGCGGCTCCCTCCAGCCCCCCCTCTGTGCCTTCTGCAGCTTTGGCACCCGCTGTGGTGCTGCTGCAGACTGAGTCCGAGCTGCTGGACGGATCCAGCGACCAGGCAGCCTCCCCAGCCCGAGACGTCATTGAGGTCACCATTTCCGAGAGCCAGGACAAGTGCTTTGTGGTGCCGGAGGAGCCAGGCCCCACCCACAGCCTGATGCTCATCCATAAGGACATGGGCTTTAGTGCCTGGGCAGAAGTGGTGGAGGTGCAGACGGGCACCTGATGGCTCACCTTCCCGCCCCCCAGAGTCTCTATAAAGACTTCTTTTTCCAGCTGCTAAGTGTTTGCATTTTCTTTCTCTCTGGGTTGCCCAATAGGGATGAGACTCTGCTATGAGAAGCAGGTCAATGACTTTCCTTCCTGAGTCCCTGGGTGGCACAGACTTTTAAGTGTTCAGCTACTAACGAAAAAGTTGACAGTTTGAACCCACCCAGAGGCACCTCAGAAGAAAGGCCTGGCGATCCGTTTCCTAAAAGTCACAGCCTTAAAAACCCTATGGAGCAGCTCTGCTCTGCACACATGGGGTCACTGTGAGTCAGAATCAGCCTGATAGCTACTGGCTTATAGGGTAGAGGGCCACCAAGGTAAGACTTCTGAATTAAAAATGTTTCTTGACTTCCAGTAGAACTTCCCTAGGAACACCACAGGCACTTGGCCTGTACTCATGATAGGTAGTGGGCAGGCCACTGCCCTGCCTGGGTGCCTGGCGCTAGGCTAGTCACACCCTTCGTGCTCCCCAAGGAACAAGCCCTTTTTGGAACCAACTTGAGCAGCTTTCAAGGGTTAAAAGGCCTGAGCCTGTGCTCAGCTCCCAGCTGTGAGAGATGTGACTTGTCACTTCTCTGTAATTCAGGCTTTGGGTAATTTTGGTAGCTTTTCTCACCACCTGAGCACAGTGAAAGTCAGTTACAGTTCTCTGCTGAGCTATCCCTTGGGGGGTAGTGAGGTCCAGAGCTGTGCCCGTTTGCACCTGGCTTAAAGGCAGCCCTGCTCTGGTCAGGGAAGGAGTGAGGAGTTAGCATTTGTCCTGTATCTACCATGGGCGTGTGATGTGCAACGGTGCTGGGAGCATGACCAGAACAAGACAGACAAGAATGGTGTCCTTTATGGTCTCCAGGGAGGAGAAATCATTAGACTAGAGTCCAAAGAGGAGTGTTGCTGGGTGTGTGAACGTGTTTAATGGGACAGTAACTTGGTCTGGGGCATCAGGGAAGGCAGCCCTGAGGAATAATGACAGTAAACAACCCTTACTGTGGGCCAGTGCTTTACATGAGTTTATATAATCCTCATCATGTTAGAGATGAGGAACAAAAGTCACAGATCTACTCAGTGGCGGAGCTGAGATTCAGACCCACACAGGCCAGCACTTAACCTCTGTCCTCTCCTGCCCCTCACGTGTGTTAGGCAGGGAAGGTGGGGTTGGGGACTGCATGAGAAAGGCCCTGGGAAGAGAGCCTGGTGGGTCTGAGCAGCTGAGACCAAGGCTGAAGCGAAGAGGAAGAGGGGAGCAGGAAGCAGGTGATGCAAGGCCCTGGGCCAGGAGTTGGGCTTCATCCTCAGATGCCGAGGCGCTCTGAAGGGTTTTGAGCAGGCCAATGACGCCAGATTTGTGTTTGAAGAGATCACTGGGTTGGGAGAGCAGGTGTAATTGTGGGAGAATAATTAGGAGGTTGCTGAGGTGATATGAAATAGGGTAGCAGCAGTGGAAGTGGAGAGAGATGGGATCATTGATCCAACAGATCTTTACTGAGCACCTCCAACGTGCTAGACACTGTTCTAGTTGCTAGGGAGACAGCAGTGATAACAGTCTTTGCTCTCTCAGAGCTTACATTCGACCCTAGAATAGTTCAGGGGAGGAGTTACGATGCAGACCATGCTTTGACAGGATGGTTAGGGAAGACCTCTGGTGACTTGAGCAGAGACCTGAATAACGGAGGGAGTGAGCTGTGATGTTGTCTGGGGGAGGAGCTGGACTCCAGGTAGAGGGAACAGTAAGGACAAAGGCCCTGTGTGTGGAGTGACTGAGGCAGAGCATGGGAGGAGAGAGAGGGCTGTGTAGACCCTTCCTCCCCCTTCCCGTCCCCGCAACTTACTTTGTAAGTTCCTTGCAAAGTACAAATGAAAAGGTTCGGAGAGGGAGGGAGAGAGATTGGACTCTTGGTTTCTGGTTTAGGCCACCAGAGGGTAATAAGGTAACATTGGGGTAGGATCCGGGACAAATACGACTTTGGTTTTGGATGTTTGGAGTGTCTGTGGGAGAGATCCCAAGTGGGCAGTTGGAAATAGTTACAAACCTGTGGAGAAAAGTCTGGATTAGATGGAGAGTCCCAGGAGGTACTTGCCAGGAAGTGGTCATTGAAGCTGTAGGAGTGGTGGAAAGTACAGAGAGAAGAGAGGAGGGCCTAGGACTAAGGACTGAGGTAACCCAACCCTTCAGAGTTAACATAGATCAGCTTCCAACGGAATAGAAAAACCTGCAACGTTGGGATCACAGAAGCTAATGGAAGAATGTTTCAACAAAAGAGGAAGAGGTCAATGGCATCTGTTGCTCTTGAGGGGGTTGAAATACGTAGAAGTCACTGTAGAGCCAATGAGAGCAGTTGAAAGCCTGATTGGATTGCTTTGAGGAGGACTGGAGGTAAGAGAGACAGGCAGAACGTACATTGCTGCTTCCTCCTTATGCTGTCTTGCAAACGAGGTATTGTGAGGTCCATTTTGCAAATGAGGACACTAAGGTTCAGAGAGGATAAGCAACACGCCAAGACTTCAAAACCAATTTCAAATCTAGGTGGTTTTCTGGCTTCTTCACAGCCTTTGATTCCAGTGTTGTAAGCAGCCTCGTCTCCCAGTTTGCCATTGACATCAGCACAGCTGTCTACCCAATCTGAACAGCTTCTTGGTAAAGTGTAATCCTGGAACTGGCCAGGAGGGAAGACCAGGAAATGGTGGCAATCTGTGGAGAGAAACACCATACCATCCAAAACCTGAAAAACAGATTAGTTTTCAGCCAGCCAACTCTGGCTCTGTTTCTTGGAGTCTGTGTGAGGCCTGTTCTTCTCTGGCTCCTACTTTAGCTTGGGTAATGGGCCGGCAGTCTGCCCAGTGCTGTTAGGCATCCTGGGGATACTCCTGTCACTTAACATGGAACTGTGCTTCCCTCCCCCCTCAGACCCTCAACAGAAGATGTGTTGTGTTTTGTCCTTCTCCCTGTCACTACTCGTTCCTCTCTCCTTTCCTTCTCCAGGTTGACTCAGCACTGACCCAAGCTGGTCATCAGGGAAAGGAGGCCATCTGAAGATCATTTGTCTCAAGGCAGGAAGAATGAAGCCGTCTCTTTTCTCCACTTCTCAGGAGCCCTGCTACCTTTCTCACTCAATATTTAATTTTTGAATAAATTAGCGATGTGAGATCTTTCCACCCCCCAAAAAATGAATGAGTAGGCTTGATATCATTAGTCAACAGGAGATAGAGATTCAAATCACAGTGAGGTATGTCTAAACATCCATCAGAATGGTTAAATGAACGGACAGTCTAGTGTTGACAAGGATATGAAGCAACTGGAACTCTCAAACTTTGGTGGGACAGTAAACTAGGAAAATTATTTTTCATAGCTACTCAAGGAAAACATATACCTACTTTATGACCCAGCAAACGTCACTCCTGAGCATATACCTAACAGAAATAAGTGCTTTTATACACCAAAAGTCTTGTACAAGGATATTCATACAATAGCTCAAAACTGGAAATGAATCCAAATGTTCATCAGCAGGTGACTGGATAAGTAAAATGGATACAATTAAAAGTAGCTCATGAAGTGAAGCACAGAAACATGCTGAGTAAAAACAGCTAAACAACAAGTATGTACTGTAGGATTCCATTCATAGGACGTTCATATACAGGCAAAACTTACTTATGGTAATAGTGGTAAGAACACTAGTTACCTTGGCGGGGACTGAGCAGTAACATGAAGGAGCCTGTTTAGGGGCTGGGAATATTCTTTGTCATGATCTGGGTGTTAGTTACATGGGTGTATACATAAAAATTTGAATTACACACTTATGATTTGTGAGCATAAATTATGCCTCAACTGAAATTTTGTATACATACAAGTATGTTAGTGTTAAGTGCTGCTGAGTCGATTTTTGACTCGGTGACCCCATGTGACAGAATAGGGTTTTCTAGGCTGTAATCTTTACAGAAGCAGGTCTCCAGATCTCTCACCTACATAATCCCTAGGCAGGTTCCAACTGCCAGTGCTTTTGTTAGCAGCTGAGCACTTAACCATTGTGCCACCAGGGCTTCTTGTGTGTGTGTGTGTGTGTGTGAAGATACACACACACACAACAAACACGGAGGCATACCTCGTTTTACTGCATGTCACTGTACTGCGTTTCACAGATACGGCATTTTTTACAAATTGAAAGTTTGTGGCAACCTGGCATTGAGCAAGTCTGTCTGTACCATGTTTGCAACAGCATGTGCTTAGTTCATGTCTCTGTCACATTTTGATGAATATTTCTAACTTTTTCATCATGCTATTGCACATTTAACAGCCCACGGTATATACTGGGCTTTATACATACTGGGAAACCAGAATATTCACATGACTCACTTTATTGCAGTAGTCTGGAACCGAACCCACAATATCTCTGACATATGCCTGTGTGTGTGTGTGTACATATGTATGTACATATGTACACGTATATACATGTCCATGCACACACACACACACACATAAATGCTGTTATGCTGTTGTTGGGTCCTGTTGGGTCAGTTCTGACTTAGTGATCCTATGTACAACAGAGCGAAACACGGCCCAGTGCTGCACCATCATAATTGTTGCCATCCTTGAGCCCATCATTGCAGCCACTGTGTCAATCCATTTCATTGAGGGTCTTTCCCTTTTTCATTAACCTTCTGCTTTACCAAGCATCATATCCTCCAGGAATTGCTCCTTTTGACAACATGATCAAAGTATGAGAAATGAAGTCTAGCTTTTTTTTTTTTTTTTTAATTGTGATTTGGGTGAAAGTTTACAGAGCAAATTCACTTTCCATATAGCAATTCACTACTCTTTGTCTCATGATGTTGACTACAATTTACCAGAATGCAACAGCTCCCCTCCCACTTCCTCCAAATAGTTACCTCTTCCTTGTGTCCATCCCTCCATGCACTCCTGCCCCCTGAGCTGTCTCCCTGTGCATAGGCAGCCCTTCTTTCTCCCATGATTGTTCTCTCTGAGGAATGTATCTACTCAGTGTAAATGTTCAGCTCATATGCCTGTGTTTTGTTTGGCTAGAAGCCACAGGAGTGGGTTCAATTCCAGACCTGAAGGGCAGCTAGGGGCCATAGTCTCAATGGTTCCACCAGGCTCTATCAGACCAGCAAACCTGGTCCCCCCACCCCCAGCAAATGATTTTGAGTTTTGTTCCACATTGTTCTCCCACTCTATCTAGGATCTCCTACATAGACCCCCTTCTGAGTGGTTGACAGTGGTAGCCGGGCACCATCTAGTTCTTCTGGTCTCATAGTTGTATAGGCTGCGTATTGCATGGTGTACCAGTTGGAAGTCTAGCCATTCTTGCTTCAATGAGATGGATTGACACAGTGTTTGTGATGATGGGCTCAAGTATAGTAGGGATCACGGAGGTGGTGCGGGATCGGGCAGTGTTCGTTCTGGTGTGCATGGGGTCGCTATGAGTCGGAAACGACTCGACAGCACCTAACAACAACAACAACAACAAGGAGTATTCCAGCTGTATTTTTCCAAGACAGATTTGCTCGTTCTTCTGGCAATCCATGGTACATTCAGTACTCTTCTCCAGCACCAGAACTCAAAGGCATCAGTTCTTCAGCTTTTGCATGCAGAGGAGGCGACTGAAAAGACCACGGCTTAGGTCAGGTGCACCTTAGTCCTCAAGGTGACAACTTTGCTTTTTAACACTTGAAAGAGTCTTTTGCAGCAGATTTGCCCAATGCTATATGTCACTTGTTTTCTTGACTGGTGCTTCCATGGGCATTGATTGTGGATCCAAGTAAAATGAAATCCTGGACAACTTCAATCTTTTCTCCATTTACCATGATGTTGCTCACTGGTGCAGTCGTGAGGATTATTGTTTTTTTAATGTGGAGGTGCAAACCATACACACACACACACACACACACATAATATAGGAACTTTGGCCACCCAGGAATTAAGCTGATTTGTAGGAGTCCTGGTCCCCAGAGTTCTGCCAACTCTCTCTTCATAGCTCTGTACCAGGCCTTTCCCCGTGATCCCCAGATGTACGTGACCACAGTCCTGACCCCAAACAGCCAGTCTTGAAGGACACGCAGGCAAGGCCTTGTGCTTCCCTGTGTTCCTGCTCTTTGTCCCTCTGTCCTAATTAGACCCAGGACTAATATTTATCTTGCAGACTGCAAACAGGAATTGGGGGAGGGACATGGAGCAGGGTTGGGCCCAGAGGCAGCATAGGTAGGACTGGCAGCCACTCTAGGCTTGGACCAGGTGAGACAGGCAGGGAGAGAGGGAGGGGCCTTACCACAGAGACCTGGTGATTGGGCTTGTGCCTGTTCTGGAGTGGGCAGGAGGTCCTGGGAGAGGAGAGGAAATAGACCAAAGCCCAAGAGGTCCTAGACCTGCTCCTCCCCCTGGATACCCACCACACACAAACATACTCCTACAGCACCTGAGATAGGAAAGAGGAGAAATGAAACCCTCCATTAGTAACTGAGAGGCTGGGACCCATACTGACTGTCCCTGCCCAGTGCATCCAGGGTGAGGTGGACAGCTTATGTCTGGTCACATCCTGCCCACACCCTCGTCACCATGTGTTGCATCTGCATATTGTGATTCCACAAGCCTCCACATCTGTTTACATAATATATCTACCAATTATTACCAAAACCCAAACACCTCCCTCAAGTCAGTTCTGTCTCATGGCTACCCCATGTGTGTCAGAGTAGAATTGTGCTCCACAGAATTTTCAATGGCTGTGATCTTTCAGAATCTAATAGATCATCAGGCCTTTCTTCCTGGGAGCCACTGGGTAGATTCGAACCACCAACCTTTCAGTCAGTAGCCAAGCGCAAACCATTTGTGCCATCTACGGCCCTTTAATTTATAATCTCCTCTGGTGGCGTAGTGCCTAAGGCATTTGACTGCTAACCAGAAGGGTGGAGGTTCAAACCCACCAATGACTCCTCAGAAAGAAGATGGGGCAATCTACTTCCATAATGATACCACCTTGGAAACCCAAGGAGGGGCCACTATGAGTTGGGTCCAACACAACAACAGTGAGTTTAAGAGTTTTTGGGTTTTACTCACACCAAGGTCTATTACTATTTCCATTTCACAGATAAGAAAACTAAGGCACATAGAGATGAAAGCAATTATCACCATGTGTTAGGGCTGGAAGGAGCCTCAGTAAGATCCTGAGACCCTACTTGGCCAAAGTTCACCTCACGCCTGAGGGAGAGAGGCGGTGGGGGTGGTGCTTATTGACCTTTCCTTTGTGACTCCCCACCCAGACCGTCCATTTTTGGTCCCAGGAGGACCCATTCCATCAGATGGCGGGGGTGGATAGCAGATTATCTATCTGCTTGTCCCCACAGCCCTGACCTGATAACCTCTCCCTCTCAGCTGATTTCTTCATGCTAGTTCAACATTAACCCAGAGGGGTCAGGACAGCCCTTCAGAGTCCCTAGAGCTGACACACTATGGCGCACGTCCGAGGCCCGCGGCTGCCTGGCTGCCTGGCCCTGGCTACCCTCTTCAGCCTTGTGCACAGCCAGCATGGTAAGGGGGTCTTGGAAGCTGGGACAGGCTGTAAGGCTGTAAGGCCATGGTTGGGGTCTCCTGGCTTGACAGAGAACACAGGGCCAGTTCCCAGGGGGCTCTCAGCCCAGGGTATCCAGCTTAGGGAAGCAGCCTCAGGGCTAGAGGATTCTGGTGGCCGTTCTCTTGCAGTATTGGAAGTGGGCTGGGGTGGCCAATGAAAAGAGGGGAGCTGATGGACTCCCGGGTTCTGCTGCCATCCCAGGCACTCCCTCCTGGAAGCCAACATGGCGGCCCCATGATGGCTAAGGAGCCTGGTTCCCTGAGGCTGCTGTCCCATGACTCTCCTACCGCAGTGTTCCTGGCCCCTCAGCAAGCACTGTCGCTGCTCCAGCGGGTCCGCCGTGCCAACAGCGGCTTCCTGGAGGAGTGGCGCAAGGGGAACCTGGAGCGAGAGTGCGTGGAGGAGCAGTGCAGCTATGAGGAGGCCTTCGAGGCCCTGGAGTCGCCCACCGACACGGTGAGGACAAGGCTACTCAGAGGGAGGGCCAGGTGCCCTGGAATGGGACTACCTCTAGGACCATGAATGAATGGGGAGGGGAATATCACAACTCATTAACTGTTGCCAGGCTACCTTCAACTCTGAGCCCATTTTACAGGCTGGCAAGGTGATCAACCTCAGCTGTCCTTGGAGGTCCCTATCCCCAGGCTATGCTGAGGTTCCAGGGTCTGGTGAGGCTCCCTGACATCCAGAGGCCTCCTGGGTCTGCATTGGGATCTCCGCAGTCCCTTGCCTGACCCCTGTGACCTCAGTTTCAGCCTTCCCCTGCCACCCTTGGGTGATGGGACTCTGGTGAGGCCAGGAGCCCTGGGCTTTAGGCTTCAGTGTTTCTGGAACTCTGGGGGCCTTTTCCTTCCTGGGGGGGGGTGTCTGTCAGGGCCTACTGCAAAAGACTCATGCCTCACTCTCCTCTCACCTTCCCCGGCCCAGGGGACGCCTTTTAAGACATGGTAAGGGATGCGGACACCGCTCTTCTCAAATCCCCTTCTTCTTAATGGGCTTGGGCTTTTGGAAACAAAAAGAGGAGGCTCCATCCTAAACTTCTGCAGAGCCTGGCTCTACATGACTGAGGGAAGGGAAGGGAAAGCAATAGGAAACAGAAGTTTACGAGAGGCAAAGAGAAGTAAATCAAAGGCCCCTAGCTTATCCTCACTGCAGTCTTTGTTTTTCAGGATGTGTTCTGGGCCAAGTACACAGGTGAGCACTGAGAAGAGTTTGCTCCCGGACCCCCTGGGACTCCAGCTAGACAATGCCTCACAACATCAATATCCACCCATCCACTCACCCCTCTTTCCTTCCTTCCTTCTTTTCATTCACCCGTCTGTCCATTTTTCTGTTTTTGAGCATCACCCCACCTACCCTTTTTACTCCAGTCCTGGCCCTACTCTGATCCCCAAAGTATTTCTCGATCTTTTATAGCTTGTGGGACGGTGATGAAGCCTCGAGAAAAACTCGTCGAATGTCTAGAAGGTGAGGGACCGTGGCCAAGGGGGTGGGAAGCAGACCCAAGAGAGAGAAGCCCGAGCCGGGGGGGGGGTTGTTACAGGATGTGGCCCAGCGGCGGCAGCGTCGTGTACTGATGTCAATACTAGATGCCTTCTTTTTTGTCCATGTGCTCTGCGTCCCACGTCCGTGTCTCTGCATCTCCAGCCCCTGGCTGTATGTCCAGTGGTCAGGAAGATGTTTAATGGAGGAGCAAATGAATGAATGAATGAATGATGAATTAATGCTTAAGGCTTCATTTTCATTTGCATGACCTGAGTCTCGGCTCACCCGTCTTACCTACTGTCTCCAGAGCCCAGCTCCTCTGCTGTCACACTCACTCTCCAAACCCTGTAGGGGCTCCCCACTGCCCACAGAAATTCTGGCGAGCTTTTCACGTTCTGGCCTTAGCCTTCCCTTCTGGCCTCACCTTCACCCACATGAACCCAAACCCCCAGCCAGCGCTTCTCAACCCGTGTGCCTATCATGTCATGTTGTTTCTCCTTTGTGGTCCTAGCTCACACTGTCACCTTCTCCTGGAGCACTCATCACTTTCTATTGAAAACCTCCCTGTCCTCCTAGGGCTAATTCACATGCCTTCAGGGAGCCTCCCTCCTCCACCTTCACAGCATTTTGAATATACCTGTAAAATGACATGGGCCCCACCGCACCAACTCTTTAATCACTGACCATGCTTTCATGTGTTATAAAAGCTCATTCAACAAATATTTACCTTGGCACATACCCTGCTATGTGCGAGAAACTGTGTTGAGTGCTGGAGATGCCAAAAGAATGAGATACAGTCTTTGCCTTCAAGGAGCGTACACCTCATACTAATTAATTAATTAAGTAATTAAAACAACCAAACTCGCTGCCACTGAGTTGGATATGACTCATAGTGACCCTTCCTTGGGTTTCTGAGGCAGTATCTCTACGGAAGTAGATTGCCCAACCTTCCTTCTGAGGAGTGGCTGGTGGGTTTGAACCACCAGCCTTCTGGTTAACAGTTACCCAAGGAGAGCTCCCACACACCTCATAAGAAAGAATCAAGGTGACTGCTAGAAAAGCTCTGTTCAAGGTGCCAAGAGAACACAGGAGGAGCTTCGGTTTACTGGCAGAATCAGGGAGAGCTCCCAGAGGCAGTGGAGTTTACCTGCCCTTACGGGAGGCACTGATGAGCTCTGCATTCCAGGCATAGAATACACCACGTACAAAGGCCCTGAGGTATGAGTGAGCCTGGTGTGCACAGGAGTTAGGAGCCAAGATACCAGGAGAAATAGACCAGGGCCAGGTCATAGAAGGACCTGGTTCACTTTTTCATCCTCTTGGATATGAGGCGCCAGTGCATTTAAAGATACGGAAACGTTGACTGTGACTCTTATTTACCACTGTGTCCTTAGTACCTGGCACAGTGCCTGGCACCTGGCAGATGTTCACTGACTACTTGGTGACTCTTGTTAACTGATGGGAGAACTTCTGGGTTCACTGGAGGTGCTTAGTCAGTGCTGGTCAAGCATGTGGGCCTGAGAGAGCATGGAGGGGGTAGACAGACAGAGCTGCGCTGGGAGAGGGGAGACAAACGCTCAGATCCTGATGCTAACCTGGGCTGGGCCTTTGCAGGGAACTGTGCTGAGGGTCTGGGCAAGAACTACCGCGGAAATGTGAGCTTCACCCGGTCAGGCACCGAGTGCCAGCTCTGGAGGAGTCGTTACCCACATAAGCCTGAGTGAGTGATGGGCATGCCCAGAACCAGTGGGCCAAGAACAGGGAGCAAGGGGAGACTTGGAGCAGGGCTTCCTGCTGGGACTCCAAGTTGAACGTTTTCCTGTTCCAGAATCAACTCCACCACCCACCCTGAGGCCGACCTGAGGGAAAATTTTTGCCGCAACCCAGATGGCAGCACCACAGGGCCATGGTGCTACACTACAGACCCCACGACGCGGAGGGAAGAGTGCAGCATTCCTGTGTGTGGTGAGCAGAGGCAGTTAGGCGGTCCACGGCCAAAGCTGAGGCATCTCTGTTGGGCCTGGCAACCAGGGATGGGATCTAGGATCCCAGCTACCTTAGGAGGGGTTAGTCATCTAAAACATACTTAGGCCTGCTGATCAGTGAAGCTGGGAGAGCTGAGGAAGTTGACTTCCCATCTTCCCCTTGCCCTCCTCAGCCTTAGCTTCCTCATGATCCAGTTTAGGCTCCTTGCACACATGCTGTCTTCCTGCCCATGGATCTTTTCCTTTAGGAAGCCCTCCGAAACCATCTCACTCCACCTGCTCTTTTCTGAGCACCACAGAGGAAGACTCGTTCATTTCAGATCTGTGTGATTCCAGCATTCTTGTTTCCTGTGGTGTATCCGTTAGCTCAGTCCCCAGGGGGTTAGAGGTTTGAGTCTTCCCAGGAGCATCTTAAAAGAAAAACCTAGTGATCTACTCCCCCAAGAAAATCAGCCATTCAAAACTCTGTGGAGCACAGTTCTCTAGTGACACAACCATGTGGTCACCACGTGTGATGAGCATTGCCTCGACAGCAACCGGAGCTGGAATCAGTCAACTATGGCCATAACAATGCTGCAAATAAGCAGCTTAAAATCTCAGGGGTGTTCAGCGATAAGTGTTTGTTTCTCATGTGTCTGAAGGTCGGCTGGGCACCTCGACTGATGTCAGCTGCCCTCGCTCATGGGGCTGTGAGCTGGACTGGTGGAGGCTGGGTCTGCCTCGATGGCTCAGCTGCCTGTTGAGCTCAGCTCCTTGCTGCAGATTGGGCCCAGGTCTGCTCCACATGTGTTCAGTACAGGGCTGAGGCTGAAGCGCAGCAAGTACCAGAGAGCAGCTCCTCTCATGGTGTCTCTCCAGGCCCGGACTCAGAACCGGCACAGTCAGTTTGGCCCACATTCCACTGGCCAGAAAAAGTCAGTGATCAAGGCCACTGTCAAGAGATGGAGAAGTACACCCGCCTTTGCCTGTAAAATCACAGGGGCCCAGACAGGGGACAAAGAATTTGTGCTGGTCACTCACTCTAGCCCATGCGTGTTGGCATGTCATTTGCCCTTCATGCATCCCTATTGGCCTTGACCCTGAGAATGGTCTTATAACACGTTAGTCAATATAGTAACAAAAATGGCTACCATTCACCAAGCCGTTGACACATGAAACAATAGGTATGCTGCAAAACGAAAAACCAAACTCACTGCCGTCAAGTTGAGTCCGATTCGTAGCCACCCCTCCTTGGGTTTCCACTATGGCAGTAGGTATCACTGTGGAAGTAGATTGCCCAATGCCCATGTAGACATCCTCAGTCAATCCCAGCAATCCCTCTCCTGTGCCTCTTTATAAACATAGACTCCTTCTTAACCCAGCGCTCCAGGCAGTCACTACCAGTGGATTTCAGACAGCCCAGGAGGGGAAACCTGGTTTCTGTTCTGGCTATTCACGTTCTGTCATCAGACACTGTAATGCTTGTGCGGTATATTCTGTTTAATCTTCTCAACAGCCCTACAAGGACAGCATTGCCAAACAAGTTGCCTTGGAGTTGACTTTGACTCAGGGCAACTCCGTGTGTGTCGGAGAGAACTGGGCTCCACAGGGTTTCCAAAGGATGATTTTTCAGAAGGGGGTCACCAGGCCTTTCTTCCCAGGCACCGCTGGGTGGACGGGGACTTAATCTTTTGATAGCAGCTGAGCCTTTCCACCACTGGCACCACCCAGGGATGGCATTGCTGTGGTTAGGTGCCATTGAGTTGCTTTTGGCTCACAATGAGCCCATGTGACAGAGCAGAACTCCCCCACAGACAGTTGGCTGTAATCTTTGCGGGAGCAGATCGTTCATTTGTTGTTGTTGTTGTTGTTTGCCATTGAATCGGACCTGACTCGTAGCGACCCCTCCTTGGGTTTCCGAGGTGGTATCACTACGGAAGTAGATTGCCCAAACTTCCTTCCAGATCATTCATTAGTAAGCCCTTTTATAACCAAACAAACTGAAGCTCAGAGAGGTTAAGTTACCTGGGGTCATACAGGAAGAGGCAGCAAGGCAGGGATTCAAGTCCTTTTCTGCCTGGTTCCACCTGGGGTCCCACCCACCTGTCTCCCTTTCCTCCTCTCCCACCAGGCCAGGGGGGGTTCACTGTGCAGCTGACCCCACGCACTGGAGGCTCCAAGGGGAAGGTCTCACCCCCACTGGAGCTGTGTGAGCCTGATCGTGGCAGGCAGTACCAGGGTCGCTTGGCCGTGACCACATATGGCTCCCCCTGCCTGGCCTGGGCCAGCTCGCAGGCCAAGGCCCTGAGCAAGGACCAGGACTTCAGGCCCGAGGTGCCGCTGGTGGAGAACTTCTGCCGGAATCCTGATGGGGATGAGGAGGGTGTCTGGTGTTATGTGGACGAGAGGCCTGGTGGCTTTGAGTACTGCGACCTCCAGTACTGCGGTGAGTATCAGGGCCTGCGTCCTGAGATGCAAAGGACAAAGCCCAGAGGGAATAAGAGCAAGCCGCTTCCCCTTGTTTAAGAGTTACTACGGTAATGGAGTGGGGAAGGCTTTGTGCCCATTTTACAGATGAGTAAACTGAAGGTTCAGTTACCTAGAAACTGAGGTGCGCCTGCGGTCTTAACCTCTACACCATATGGCCCCCAAAGCCAGCAGGGGACTTTGGGAGATCTGGGGGTTGGGAGAGGAATGGCCCAGCCCAGTCCCAGCTGGTGCCTGGGTCCCTGTAGACGAGCCTGTGGAAGAGGAGGCGGGAGACGGGCTGAGCGAGGACCCATCCGCGACTATCCAAGGGCGCACCACCACCGAGGATTACCAACCCTTTTTCAACGAGAAGACCTTCGGCTCCGGGGAGGCAGGTGAGGAGGCGGCGGTCGGCGGGCGCCGGGCCGCGGTGTTGCGAGGCTGGCGGCCTCTCCGCCCCTCACGGCCCGCTTGCTTTGCAGACTGTGGACTGCGGCCTCTGTTCGAGAAGAAGTCGCTGATAGACAAGACGGAAAAGGAGCTGCTAGATTCCTACATACAGGGGCGCATCGTGGAGGGTCGGGACGCCGAGCAAGGCATCGCGCCGTGGTGCGTCGCGGGCCCTCGCCTCCCATACACTCTGTTGGGGCGTGCTGCCGACCCCCTCACTGCCTGCAGCCCTTGCAAAGGCCTCTTCCCTCGCAGGTCCAGCTTCACAGAGACCAAGAGCCCAGCATCCAATCCTCCAGGCAACCCTGTGAGATTGGGTGTATTTCTTCTCTCATCCTGCAGATGGCGCAGCTGAGGCTCAGCGCACTTACTTTCTTAGTTACACTGCTGTGTTTCAGTCAGAACTTGAATCCACTTCTTCTGACTCCAGAGTTGTGCTGAGCTGTGCAGACTCTGGATTGGAAGGAGCTGGGGACGGGGTGCAAAAGCAGCAGGCAGCCGTCAGCATCACACAGAGGCTCCCGTTGTCAAGGGCAGTCAGGCTTAGTTGACTGGGGTCCCATCTAACTAACCCAGTTAATTTTTTTTTTTTTTTAATTGTGCTTTGGGTGCAGATTTACCAAGCAGATTTGTTTTGCATTCAACAGTTCGTGCACATCTGATTTCACAACCCCGGTTACAATCTCCAACCATAAAAACTCTCCTCTGTGTGACTGCCCCCTCCCTGGGCCCCTCTTATCTGTGCCTTCCTGTCTGTCCAGCTTTCCCTCTGTGTGAATGCTGCCCCTCTGATGTCTCATGGCTGATTGCTCTAAGGGGTGCATCTCCCTGGTGTAGGTGCTCTGCATGTAGGTCTCACAGTTAATTCTTAAACCTGAGACTTTCTTCTTCAAGTGTTGGTGGAGGGCAGCCCCCAGCTCTTAAAGCTTACTCCTCCTCCTCCCAGGCAGGTGATGCTTTTCCGGAAGAGCCCCCAGGAGCTACTGTGTGGGGCCAGCCTTCTCAGTGACCGCTGGGTCCTCACTGCAGCCCACTGCCTGCTGTACCCACCCTGGGACAAGAACTTCACTGAGAATGACCTTCTGGTGCGCATTGGCAAGCACTCCCGCACCAGGTACAGAACCAGGGCCCCTGGGTGTCTGGCAAGGGTTGAGCTCTCCAAAGTGATGGCGAAGTGTTCTGGTGGCCCTGGGCTATGTCTGTACATCCCCTGTGCTATGACATCCTAGCAGTCACTGCTGGGAAGGCCATTTAGCCACGTCCTGACTGAGGCTTGGAGCTGGGACAGAAATGAAGACTTTGCTGAGAGTGAAGCCCTGGCCTGCCCCTGGTTTCCCTCCAGACACCAGGACGTGGCTTTGGTGGAAGTGTCAGAATGCAGGGTGGTTGGCCCAGGACGTGCAGCTTGTGCCTTGCCCCTGTCTGCCTGAGCTCTCTGACCCCAAAGCCCTGTGCAGCTTCAGGCCCAGAAAGAAGCCGCCAAGGAGACCTTTGGCATCAGGGAGGCAGGAGACAGTCTTTTCCTCTCATCAGTGACCCACTGGTCACCCTGACTCCCAGACCCTGAGGGCAGGTAGTTTCCTTCCTCAGGGAGCCAGCTGCCCCTCGCTGGGTGGGCTACTGCTGCCCCATTTCTCTTTTGGGCTCTCTGCAGGTATGAGCGGAACATTGAGAAGATCTCCATGCTGGAGAAGATCTACATCCACCCCAGGTATAACTGGAAGGAGAACCTGGACCGGGACATTGCCCTGCTAAAGCTCAAGAAGCCCATCACCTTCAGCGACTACATTCACCCCGTGTGCCTGCCTGACAGGGAGACGGCGGCCAGGTGGGGTGGCCAGAGGGCCATTAACCCTGGGGCTGAGTTCTGGGACTGATTCTGCTACTCTGCAGTCTGCACAAGTTTCTTCCCTTTTCTGACCTCAGTTTCTTGGTTAAATGGATGGGGAAGTAAACCCTAGAGTTCGTTGTTCCTGCCTTGGTGTTTTGGATCCGGGTCTCTAAGGGATGGTCGTGTGGCCAGGAGGCTCCTGGAGGGGCTGGGTCTCACTAGGTTCTTCTCCCTTCCCCAAAGATTGCTCCAGGCTGGATACAAAGGGCGGGTGACCGGCTGGGGCAACCTGAAGGAGACGTGGATGTCTAACGTTGGCGAAGTGCAACCCAGTGTCCTGCAGGTGGTAAACCTGCCCATTGTGGAGAGGCCGGTCTGCAAGGCCTCCACGCGCATCCGCATCACGGACAACATGTTCTGTGCTGGCAAGTTCCCTGGGAGTAGCTCGGCAGGAAGGATGCAGGGGTAGAGGCACTGAGGCATTGTAAGAGCACAGACCTGGGTTCAAGTCCTGGCTCTGGTCACTTATAAACCATATGGCTTTAGGCAAGTTGCTTAACCTCTTTGAAGCTCAATTTCCTTCTCTGTAAAATGGAGATAAATCTTTATCCCAGAAGATTGCGTGAGGGTTCAATGAGGTACCATATATAAAGTGTTTGGCACGGTGCTAGCCACTGATAAAGTATTTAATATATGTGAGCTCAGAAGGCAGAAGGAGGCCATGAGGGTGGGGATGAAAGTAAAAGCCATTCACTCATTCAGCAGATATTTACTGAATGCTTACTATGTCGCAGGCACTATTCTAGACTTGAATATACAACAGGGACCCATCAGACTGTCTTTGTCCTCAGAGAGCTTCCTTCTTAGGAGGGAACGTTAATCAACAGCTCTGTTCGTTGAGGCCCAGATAGTTGCTATGAGTCAAGTGAAGCAGAGTAAGGGAGAGGGCAGGACAGGAGCCAGGGTGGTCCCAGAAGGCCTTTTGGAAAAGGACAGGTGTGAACAGAGACTGGAAGGAGTGAGGGAGTGAGCCAGACGCATCTGGAGGACGTGCACTGCAGGTGGAGCAGGGGCAAGGCCCTGAGGTGGGAGCGTGTGAGGTGCGTCTGAAGACTAGCAGGGAGGCCAGTGTGGCTGGAGTGCAGTAAAGACAGGAGAGGCAGCAGCAGATGAGGAGAGAGAGGTGGGTGGCAGAGGACGTGGGCAGACGATGGACATCTCACTTAGGGCCTTGAAGCACTTAGGCTTTTATTTGGAGTGAGATGGGGAGTTATCAGAGAGTTTAGGACAGGTGAATAAATTAAAAAGAAACTTTTTAATGTAAATAATGTTATTTATGTATTAATTACATTATTTATTTAATGTGATTAATGTAACTTACAGAATCATTGTAAAGGATTTCTGTATACTTTCATCTAGATCCCATTTCTCTGTCTTTGTATGTATGTACATCTGTGTGTGTGTGTATACATACATATAGTATGTATGTATGTGTGTGTGTATGTTTCTGGGTGCCATTGAGTCAACTCTGACTCATAATGACCCCACGTGACAGAAAAGAGCTGCCCCCTAGGGTTTTCTAGGCTGGAATCTTTGCAGAAGCAGATCATTTCCTGTGGAACCCCCAGCCTTTAAGTTAGCAGCTGGGTGCTTAACCATTGCACCACCAAGGCTCCTTGTGTGTTTATTTATATAATACATGTATGTATCTACATGTACATACATGTGTTTACACACATATACTGTTTGAGAGTAAATTGTGCTTATGTGTTTTTAGCCCTGAATAGTTGAGTATGTATTTCCATAAAAACTAAGGATGCTCTCTTACATAACCACAGTACAATTATTAAACTCAGGAAATTAATGATATAATACTATGATCTAAACTGTAGACCTTACTCACGTTTTGCTAATTGTTCCACTAATATCTTTTATAACAAAGGAAAAAAAGTGTTTCTCACCAGGATCCAGTCCAGGATCATGTAGCCCATTTTGTTGTCAGTCTTTTCTTTGTCTACTATGACCTTGGCATTTTGAAGAGGAGAGGCCAATTATTTTGAAGACTGGCCCTCAGTTTGGGTTTGTCTGTTTCTTCACAATTAGATTTAGGCAGAGTGATGTTGTATCTTTCTCGGTGCATCCTATCAGCAGGCCTGTGATGCCGGCTTGTCCCATTACTGGGGGTATTAACGCTGACCATTAGGTGAAGGTGGTGTCTGCCAGGTTTCTGACGGTGACATTCTGTCTTCCCTTTTGTAATTAATAAATATCTTGTGAGGGGACATGTTGATGCTGTGCATCCTGTCTCTTGTCAGAGCACTCTCTCAGCCATGGTGGCTGCCTAACAGCGATGTTCCAAGCCTTCTGTGTTTATTAGTTGGCATTTTTATCACTTTTTTTCTGTCAGTGTGGAGTCACGCTTATTTTATTGTAAAGGATGTAGTATTTATTTGTATTATTATTTTGACGTTCAAGTGATAAAGATTTGGCCAGTGGGAGTCACTTCCAGCTGGCTTCTGTAACTTTGGGGATGTCCCCATAGACTTTGTGTACTTTCTTAATTTTCGTCACAGCAGGATGTTCCATTTTCACCCTGCTGTCCTAACTGCAGTCTTACAATCAGCCATTTCTTCAAGGAACACTTCTAGTGGAGAATGGTGTTCAGAAACTAAGGTTTGGATGCTAGGCATGCACACTGCTACTGGGGTATCATAGCTTCTAAGTGCTCTCAGCAGACACAACTGGGAAGTATGTATGCTACACATATACCTACATCTGTGTCTGTTTTTCTTTTCCTCTGTCCATCTGTCCATCGTCTATTAAAAATCATGAATTCATACTGAAATCTCCAATTCCAATCCTATAGCACAAGGCTAATTTTAACTTCTCCCTTACTTCCTTAAGAACCAGAAATCTAACTCTCACTATCCATATATATTTAAGAATAGAAATATACTGATCAGTGAGTTCCAGAATTGCTCACCCATACTACTATAAAAAACAATTCTACTAGCCAGAGTTCAATGTTTCTTTACAGTTGTTTTTGCTTTTAAGCGTGAGGGTACAAAATCCAACTAGTTTGAAAAAAGTACTTGCGTTGGTTCCCTAGGGTTATTAAAAATACATTTAGGTTCATTTGTTTATATTCAGTTTTTCTTCCCCTTCATTCTTGTTTTTATTTTTGGATTATGTGAAACATTAAGAGGGTTCCAAAAGTCTTAAGTATCCCCCTCAAAAAAAACAAAAGTATCTCCTGAGAAGTGCCACCCCTAGGCCACCAATTCTCAAGCCTCATCCCTTCCACTCACACTCACCAGCTACGCCTCTTTGAAGGGGAGCAGCTAGCATGTGAGCTGTGCCCCTGAACACTTCTGTTCCCGCCCAAGGTTTCAAGCCTGAGGAGGGGCGAAGAGGGGATGCTTGTGAAGGTGACAGTGGGGGACCCTTTGTCATGAAGGTAAGCTTTTCTATAGACCAGGACCTGCTGGGTAGGTACTTTTTGGGGGAGGGGAGTTGGGAAGGGACTTCTTTTCAGAAACAGCTTCCTGGCAGGGTAATATGAAGACTACCTTGGATCTGACTCTATTGGAAATCCCATCTTTCTTTCACAGAGCTCTTTTAACAACCGCTGGTATCAAATGGGCATCGTCTCATGGGGCGAAGGCTGCGACCGGGATGGGAAATATGGCTTCTACACACATGTCTTCCGCCTGAAGAAGTGGATACAGAAAGTCATTGATCGGTTTGGAAGTTAGGGGGCCACCCACATTCTGTACTCCTTACTGCAAAATCACCAAAACCAATCCAGTCAAAGTATTTTTGTGGTTTGTTTCTAAGACTAGTTCTCAATAAAAGTGACTCTCTCAACGAGTCTCAGTGCTCCTGGTGCTGTTCGTGGGCAGCTCCCTGGAGCGGGCTCAGGAAGACCCTGTAATAATGCTGGGTAGGACTTAAAGAACCCATCACCTCCAGGCCAGGGCCGGGTGAGAGGGGAGAAGGCAGCTTGAATCTGTGAGCACCTAAAAAGTTCGACTTGGGCCTTTCTCTCTTGTATTTATCACAAGTGATAGGTATTGTCCTCATAAAACATAGAGGAGTGAACAGGGTTGAAGTATTTTGCCCAAGGTTCCACAGCTAAGAAGGGGTAAATCTAAGACTTGAAATGTGGTCACAAGATGGCAAGGCTTATGCTCCTAGTGGCTGTGCTACAGGGCGTTTGTCCTAGGACCAGAGAAGATGCAGGAGGAGGGGTGTAGTGAAGGATGGACAGATGCATGTTTGTCTTTACCTTAACTCTTCTGTAAGTTCCTACATCCTTCTGCGTGTCATTAAAATACCAAGTTTATGCCGAAAAAGAGCTTAGTATTTTAAATGTCTTCCTGTTAAGAGTACTGTGGGATCCAGCACTTGGGAGCATGGGCCCTAGCGTCAGATTGCCTGGGTTCATATTCTGATTCTGACTTTAATGGATAGCTATGGTCAAGTAACCTTCCTGAACCTTTGAAAAGATACATAGAATGACACTACCCCATAAAGTTGTGTGGATTCAATGTGGTATTACGGAAGTACTTAGCACAATGCCTAGTACTCGCTCAGCTGTCCATACATTGCTCTTTTTTGTCACTAGTGCTTACATGTGGAAAGTCCCTCTGCCACTTACTGATTCCCTCCTCTGGCTCCCGTAAATAGCATACTGGTGGGGCTGTTGCTTCACAGAATTCCTACTCACACGGCAGCTGTCAGACTTAGGCCACTTGTTTTTCCAAGAAGTGGGAGCTAGGGTATACACGTGGATTCATAAGGGTTTGGGCATATCTGAAAGTTGTGAGTCATGGAACCACAAAGATGCCCTTGCAGGGTGCACACTCCCGTTACTGCTGTCAGAGGTCACAGTCAGGCATGAAGCATGGCACTTACCCACTGTTGCCCTCAAACTATAGTTCTTGATTCAGCAAATGTAGCTCTGCCCATTAGGTGCATTTATGACTCGGGGAATTAGACACCATAGCCTACAACAGTGAATTTCAGCTTGTGTGATTGGGTATGGTACATACACACACTGGAATACTATGCAACCCTAAAGAATAACGTAGAGAATAAGATGGAAGAATAGGCATTCAAGCGACACAGACACTCTTCAACAAAGAAAAGAAAAACCAATTGACAGAGACATAGAAGATTATCCTGGAACCCTGAACTTTGAAAGGAACTATACAGAAGTGGATTAGGCACCAACTAGTGGAAAAACTTGGAACGAAAACAGTGAGTACAGAGATGGTCGGAGCTGCAGATTATCAGCTACTCTGACGGGACCGACAGCCTGAATATTTCCAAGTGGTGTTGGGACCTGAGAATTGACCTAAAGTTCAGCCCTGGTCACCAAAGGCTGCATGGACGACTGCACTGGTGGCCTGTGACTAGGAAGGGAAACACCAAGGAGGGAGACTACCTAAGCTGTGGACTTTCCATTGTCTGGAGGGTGTAGCCATTTTGGTTGTTTACACACGGCAGCCATTTTGGGTATTTAAAGTGACCAAGATGCAGCCATTTTGAATGTTTACAAGTAGTGCCCATTTTGGATATTTAAAGTGACTGAGGGGTAGCCATTTTGAATGTTTACAAGTGGAGGCCATTTGGGATATTTAAACTGACTGAGGGTGCAGCCATTTTGAATGTTTACAAGTGGTGGCCATTTTGGATTTTAAAGTGATAGCATTCTCATTCGGATTCCAGGGACCTAAGAATAGGCTCTGTTAGCCAAGGTTGGCAGGGACATTGAGAGGCTGACAACAGGAGACAAGTGGTGAGTGCCAAAGTGCTGTCAACTAGCTAATAGAGGAGCATAGTACCCTGCTTGCATAGATAACATACAAAGCAAACTAAAATCATGGGTAAGTCACTCCAACATACAATCACCAATTAACTTTAGACACAAAAACATCACAATGCCTCATAGATAGCAGAGCATCACACAAGGAAGCAAGATAAAGCAGGAGAAACAAGGGACCAGGATACAGACCCAAAACACATCCCTGAGGAAGAGGCAGCATTGGAACTCCCTGATAAGGAATTCGAAAGAATTATATTTAGGTATCTTCAACGAATTGAGAGACAGAGCAAGAAAAACACAGAAAACCCTAGAACAATTTTGAAAGACAACACAAGAACAAAATGACAAAATAAATGAAAAATTAGAAATGATACAAAATATACACACAGAAATCCAGAAGATTAATACTAAATTTTCAGAAATAGATAAGACACTGAATGGGCAAAGGGGCAGAACTGAATCAATGGAAAACAGAATTAAGGGAATCTGAAGGCAAGTACCTGAACACTTCTTTGGAAAGGAATCAATCGGAAAAAAGATCAAAACAAAATGAAGAAAGCCTAAGGGTCATGTGGGATACCATCAAAAGGAATAACCTACGTGTAATCGGAATTCCAGAACAGGAAGACACAAATAAAACCACAGAGAAAATTGTGAAAGATTTTTTGGAAGAGAATTTTCCTGGTAAGGTGAAAGATGAGAATATATCCATTCAGGAAGTCCAATGAATCCCAAACAGGATAGACCCCAAAAGAAAATCACCAAGACATATCATCAACAAACTTACCAAAACCAAAGACAAAGAATCATGAGAGTAACATGAGAAAAACAAAAAGTTACCTACAAGGGGCAACCAATAAGACTAAGCTTGGATTTCTCAACAGAAACCATGCAGGCGAGAAGACAATGGGATGGTATATATAAAACTGAAAGAGAAAAATTTCCAACCAAGAATGATGTACCCAACAAAACTGTCCCTCAAATATGATGGTGAAATTAAGACATTTCCAGATAAGCAGAAAGTAAGGGAATTTGTTAAAACCAGACCAACCTTATAAGAGATGCTAAAGGGAGCCCTTTGGACAGAGAAGCAAGAACAGCCAACAACAACTGATCATTAACACACATGATGATGTAACCCAGAAACCAACCCAGCTATGGAAATAGCCAAAGTAAACAAGCCTACAAGGTTGTAAACAGGGAACCAGAGACATCAATTAACAAATGAGGACAACTGCAAACCAAAAAGAGGGAAAAAAACCGTGGCATTACAGAACTTATAGATGGTAGGGAAGTCATGACAACTATGAGATAGAATAGACTGTTCTAAACTTGGGAAGAAAACTATAAATCACAGGGTAACCTCAAAGAAAAATGATAAACCTTCACATCAAAAAAGAGAACCAGCATAAATATTCAGCAAATACTAAAACAATAGCAATGAAGGAAGTGATAACACAATTCATAAACAAAACGAGCTCAGCATAGAAAATTATATGGAACAAAGAAATTGATGCCATGAAAAAGCACATAACAAAAATGATGCAACAAGTTCGTATTTGCCGATAATTATGTATTTGGCAAGGGACTTACCTCTAAGATTTATAGTGGATGAGTGGATGACCAAACTATGGTACACACACATATATAATGGAATGCTGTGCAGCATTAAAGAATAATGTAGAGTCTGCAAAACACTGCATGATATGGATGAACTTGGAGGACATTATGCTGAGTGACATAAGTCAATCACAGAAGGACAAATATAGTATTAGTTCATTGTTGTGGAGGGTCAAGGAAAGGTTTATATATGGAGGAAAACTCTTTGATGGTTCCCAGGGGTGGGAGAGGAGGGAAGGGAACACTGAAAAAAATAAATGCATTGACCCATGCCACTTTAGTTTTGTGTATTTCACTGTACATAAATTATATTTCAATGAAATGCATTAAAAACAAAAACCGCATAATGTGGATGAAATTGGAGAACATTATGCTGGGTGAAATAAGTCAGTCACAGAGACTACTGTATTAATCCGTTATTGTACAAGTCAAGGAAAGTTTTCTATATGGAAGGAAATTTTCTTTGCTGGTTACCAGGAGTGGGAGGGGAGGGGAGGGAACACTGTCAGATAGGTAGACATAAGTATTGATTTGGGTGCAGAGAAGGGGAATTGAGGAAGAGGAAGACATAGAGAGGTACATGGGAGGTGCAGACAACAAAGATGAACCCTTTTGCACATACAGTACTGCGTTGTCAGTGAAGGCAAACACAGGTATACAGGTAGATAGATGGGAGGACAAGCTGAACTATTAGGTACGTCTATGCAGCAGGGAGTGTACCCAAGACCACGTATAGGGTTGGCAGACAATGGTTCTACAAGTGTACTTGTATGTTCTGTAAGAACTCCCAGGAGTATAGTAGAGCTGACAAGGGACAAGGTTGTAGTCACTTCGTGGTCACAGCCAGCTATCCAGAGGGACCAAGTAGTTGAACCTGTGGGCTCAGGACCATAGTCACAGAGGACATCAAGCTCAATTGGCATAACATACTACACAAGATATTGTTCCACCTCCTACTTTGGCAAGTAGTGGCTGGGGTCTTAAAAGCTTGCAAGCAGCCATCTAGATGCAATGATGGGTCTCTCCTTGTCCAGAGTAAAGAAGAATGAAGAAAACTGAAGATTCATGGTAACAATTAGTCCTTGCAACTGGTACACCCTGTGATCTTCAGCCTATACGACTATGAGAGTAGAAGAACTAGATGGTGCCCGGCTACCCGTCAACCACTCAGAGGGGGATCCAAAACTCAAAATCATTTGGGCGGGGAAAGGGGGACCAGGTTTGCTGGTCTGATAGAGCATGGTGGAACCACTGAGACCATGGCCCCTAGCTGCCCTTCAGGTCTGGAATTGAACCCACTCCTGTGGCTTCCAGCCAAACAAAAGATAGGCATATGAGTTGAACATTTATCTGAGGTAGATACACTCGTTGGAGAGAACAATCATGGGATAAAGAAGGGCTGCTTATGCACAGGGAGACAGCTCAGGGGGCAGGAGTGCATGGAGGGATGGACACAGGGAATAAGTAACCATCGGAAGGAAGTGGGAGGGGAGTTGTTGCATTGTGGTAAATTGTAGTCAATGTCATGAGACAAAGTATAGATGAACTGTTGTGTGGAAAGTGAATTTGCTCGGTACATTTTCAGCCAAATCACAATAATAATAATAATAAAGTGTTGTAACATCCTGAATCTGCTTTTTAAACAAGGGCACACAATCTCATAAGAATGCCTCCCTCTATCACAGCTGTCAGGGTTGTAAGCTCTGGGTACTTCGTTTTTATTAGCTGTGCTAATTTCAGAGCCAAATGCAGCCACTCTTTTTAACATGTCTTTCTGCTGTAGCACTGAACTCTATCTTCCCTTCAGTAAACAAAAGGGAGAGGAATTATTAACTTCAGGCAGCATAGAGGCCACCTGAAAATGATGCCTGGTATTCATTTTTCCTTTCATTTCTTGAACATTAGTTGAGTACAAGGTGGACTAGAAGACGAAAGTTCCTCTGAACTTTGTCCAAAAAGTTTCTCTCCCACCTGAATCCTAAACCTCTTAGACCTGAAGAGTTTTCTGACTGTGGAGGGAGGCCTTGTGGAATTTATTCAGTGGGGAACTGTCAGTTCACTTTCTGGTTCTCACTCAGACTGAATGTGAAACAGCTGTTACCCTGTATCCAAATAGCCCCAGAAAACCAGCAGGAAGCCCCTAAGCCAGCCCTCAATCCACGAGCCAAATGCACCCAAATCACGTTGCAGTGGAAGAACCTCTGTAGCACAGTCAATCCCTGGGCATAATCTCAAGTACACTTGGGCAGGAAGTGAAAGATGCCTAGGAGCTCCTTGGAACCGCAGTGATGATGGGAGGGAAGTCATGATCAAAATCTCAAAATGACATTTCTCTGCTCCCCTAGCAGCTGAGAAAAAGCTGCAGAGGTGTGTTCTTCCTACTCCAAAAGAGTGAAAGACGACTTCAAGGGTGTGACCTTTCTCCAGCTGGCTGAACACCAGCTTGTCCCAAGAAAAGGTCACAGAAAGAGCTACCTCAGCACTCCAAGATATGGGACTTCTTGGGAGACAAGTATAGTTAATGCAAACTTTATTTACAGAAGACTCTTAAAATTAGTTTTATCATGCCATGCATTCATACAGAATACAGTGACCCTTCAGGGTTACAGGGAGAAGAACTCACAAACTGAAAGGAAAACTATTAAAGAGTTTCTAATAGTTAAAAGCTAGGAAAGATTAGGACTTTACAAATGAGAAATTAAAAATAAAAGGAAAAGGATAGGGAAACTAGTCTGAGTTGAGAGGAGAGCAGCTGTTTACAGGTCTGTACACTAAACTAATACACAGACAGTCTTTCAGAGAGGCAGGATGCTGACGGAGAGAAGCAGAGTATGTACAAATACTTGTGCCACAACGACTCCTCCCCTAGATCCACGGTATGATACATACAACCTGTTTGTGTACACTAGGCCTGCCGAGGCCACTTTAAACTATGAGGACTTCTAGTTTAGTAAACTAAAGCTGCAGGGTGCTGGGAGAATGGGGCAGCTTCATTTGCGACTGCTCTTTATTCTCTCCAGTCTTTTTTTCAAGTCATCAATGTTTGCTGTGGAGGAGGACGATGTGGTCATGGTTCCTGAAGAGTGAGTCTGGTTAGAATCCAGGTCTGAATGCTGGTGCTGCTCCCGTGACTCCCGGAGCTGTGAGAGTTTGCTGTGAAGCATGTCTGTGGAGGAGACGATGGTAGGAACTGCTGGTTTGGAAAGCAAAGACGTCAATGGAGGTCGGTCGTCTTGCTGTTGAGAGAAGAGACATTAACCAGGTCAAGGAGCAGCTCCAGAACAGCATGTAGCAAGACTGAAACACTTCTCTACGGGCCAGCTGGCCCCTGCCCTGGCTTGTCACTGGCCTCCTTGGACCACCCAGAAGTAAAAGAATAGTACCTTGGTATTGTCCAGACCACAGCGCTGCCGGAGGATTTTTAGCCTTTCCAGGTAGACAGATGGTCCGACCTCTTCTCCATTTGTATTACCTATGGAGGACACTGTGCTTGTGGGAGTGGGGACGCATGTGACTTCCATCTGAGGGGAGATGCCTACAGAGGAAAATGCAGAAAGAATATTCAGACCCATACATTCCCCACTTCTAGACTCCTGGCTGATCTACCAACAAAGGGAACAATGAAGAATTTCCTGGGGGCTTACATATCTCCACTATACTTGAAAACTAAGTAATCCACAAGCATCCACCAGGGGTTGATGGTAAAGGGTACTTTGAAATATACACAGTAAGCTTAGCAGGAACTTTGAGAACTGACACAGAAGGGCAGACATAAGCTGGGCTGTCCATCTATACTCTAGGTTATACAGAAGGTTGTTTTCCATAATCCCAGGTCTCAGCCCTCTGAATTGTGCGAGCAAATAGCCACCCTTGTAACTTCCTAAAGGAACACTCTGAGGACTTCAAGTATCTGAAAGAATTCGTCTCAGTTGAGCCCAGATGACACAGAGTAAAGTTCCTAATGATACCCGTGAAGGGCAACAAGGACCTGTCTGCTACGGTGAGAGAAACGGCAGTATGTGTAACACCCTGACGAGGATCAACATTCTGACAGGACAGAAAAACTAAAACACCAAACCAAACCCAAAACACCCCATGCCTAAATTTAAGGTGCCTTAATGTGTCTACACTTCAGCAAAGAATAGTCATAAAATATAGGCAAAGAAAACGCATGATGGAGGTGCTGAGAAGAAAACTCCCTTATGGTCCACAGGAAGTAAAGTAAGTGACCAGAGGGAAAGAAGAGCCCTTTCATGTGAAGGTGAGAACACTCTCAGGGTGGAAAAGGAAGGACCAGTCATGAGAGATGTGTGAATACTTTCAGGCATGAGACCAATTAATCAGTGGGATCACATACTTGTGCTACAAATGTGACGTTTAGGCCCAAAATATCAATCAAATGCTGGACATCACCAGAAAGGACTTTGGAAATGAGAAAAGGAGGCCCTAGCCTGATTACCCGACTCTGATACGTCTATGCTGGCACACTATTTGACAGTCTTCTCACCACACTTTAGGAAAAAGACTTTTAAGGTCTTGAAGAAGGATAACTTAATGGGCCAAAAGGAAACAAAGAGATGATTTAAGAGAGCACACACACTTGAATGGGCACATCAGCCCAGCAGGGTGCATGCTGAGGGAACATGCCAGAGCCCCAGTTAGCACTCGTGAGAGGGAAGTTTTGCAGCTGGGTCTTCTTTTTTGGCTTAACACTCTGGTAAGTATTTCCTGTCACTAAAATCTCCAAGGTTTTCCTTTAGTCTCTAGATCCCGAGCAGTAATTCTAAAAGACTGGCTTTTCACTGTGGGGATAGTAACATTTCAATTTCTCTTAGGATAAACATTCATTTATGTTGGTCAACAAATGCCTACCAAGGGCCTACTCTGTACTAGATGACAAAACAGATACAATTCCCTGCCCTTGTGGATTTTAAATTCTAGCAGAGAGACATACACCAAACAAGTAACCTAATAAGTAGTCCATTATATGGTATGTTAGAGGTGGTAAGTGCTATAAGGAGTAGGGAGTAGGTTGCAAGTTTTAAATAAAGTCTCTGAACAAAGATGTGAAGGAGAAAAGGGAGCTAGCCACAAGGCCACCTTGAGGAAGCACAATCTACATGTAAGACATAGCCATCGCAAAGGCCCTAAGAAGGCACACGCCTGGTATGTTCCAGGAATAGCAAGGAGGCAGTGGGCCTGGAGTGGAAAGAGTTCAGGAGATCAGCAGGAGATGAGAGCACAGAGGTGTCAGGAGGCCATACAGTGTAGGACTTCATAGGTGGAGGAACATTGTCAAGAAGAGCTGTTTTGATGCTATGTGGAGAAATGAATACAGGGAGGCAGGGGTGGCAACATGGAGATCAGCTAGGAGGGAAGTGCTACATCCAGGCTGAGATGCCTCAGACCAGGGTGACAGCAGCGAAGGTGATAAGTGTGGGTGGATTTTGCATACAGTTTGCAGATGGAGCCAAAAGGATTTCCTGATAGAGAGAAAGAGAAGATTCAAAAGTATGCGGTATGTGCAAAACTGGCATCAACCAAGATGGAGAAGAATGCAAATAAAGCAGGTTTATTTTTTTGGGGGAGGGTGAAGAGGGGCAGCAGAGATCAGAAATGTAGCTTTTTTTTTTTTAAATTGTGATTTAGGTAAAGATTTACAGAGCAAATTCACTTTCCATACAGCAGTTCACATATACTTTGTCTCATGTCATTGACCACGGTTTACCACAATGCAACAGCTCCCCTCCCACTTCCTCCACATAGTTACCACTTCCCAGTGTCCATCCCTCCATACTCTCCTGCCCCCTGAGCTGTCTCCCTGTGCATATGCAGCCCTTCCTTCTCCCATGATTGTTCTCTCCAGGGCGTGTGTCTACTTGAGGTAAATGAGGAACGTAGCTTTTGACATGTTAAATTCATCATGTCTACTAGAAACCCAAAGGCACCCTGGTGGTACAATGGTTAAGTGCTTGGTTACTAACCAAAAGGTCAGTGGTTCAAACCCACCAGCTGCTCTGCAGGAGAAAAGACCTGGCGACCTGTTTCCATAAAGGTTACAGCCTAGGAAACCCTATGGGGTGGTTCTATTCTGTCCTATAGGGTTGCTGTAAGTCGGAATTGACTCAAAGCACCTAACCTCAACAACTAGAAACCCAAGTGGGGATGTCATGTGGGATCTATCAGTCTAGAGATCAGGAGGAAGTCTGAAGTGGAGATTAAAAAAATTGGACTCATTGCAATGTAAATGGCATCTAAAGTGATGAGAGTAGATGAATTTGTTAAGGGTATAAGAGTAAGAGGAAAGAGATAATCATGCACTGAACCCTGGGGGATACCAATATTATGAGGTCAAGGAGAGTAGCAGCCAAAGAGACTGTTATGTATGGACTCAACTGTGTCCCACAAAAATGTGTTGGAATCCTGATCCCTAGACCTGTGGATGTCATCCCATTTCGGAATAGGGTCTTCTTTGTTATGTTAATGAGGCCCTATCAGTGTAGAGTGTGTTATAAGGCAATCACTGTTGAGATATAAAAGGAGCAGATTAGGTCCAGAAACAAGCAAACATGGGGAAAAAGCAGATGGCACGTGATCACCAAGGAATGCCGAGAAGACTGTTTCAGAAGATGAGGAAAGTATCTTCCCCAGAGCAGACAGTGAGAACCTTCCCCTAGAGCTGACATCCTGAATTCAGACTTCTAGTCTCCTCAATGGTGAGAAAATAAATTTCTGTTTGATAAAGTCACCAACTTGTGGTACTTCTGTTACAGTAGCACTAAAAACTAGGACAACAAAAAGGAACAGCTAATGTGAAGAAAATGAGATAGGGAAGCAAAGTGAAGATACCATCTGAAGGTCAGGGAATGATTATCATTATCCAATAATAGCAGTGAGTTATGAAGGTGACAAAGAATCGACCACAGGATAGAGCACTGTGAAGATCATTGGTGACCCTAACCTCAAGGTTCACGGATATGAATTTAAACTAATCAAAACTTTAACTTCTGAGCTGGAAGGTACTTTGAGCTTATTCCCAGAGCTATTAGATGAAGGCACTTCAATGGGAGAATTCTTGGCTACCAGGTAGGAAATATGAGTTCGATTCCCAGCCAATGCAATGGGCAGCCACCACTTGTCATGCTTGTGACAGCTTTCAGCAGAGCTTCCAGACTAAGACAGACTAGGAAGAGAGGTCTGGGGATCTGCTTCCAAAAATTGGCCAATGAAAGCCCGATGGGTTACAGCAGTTTGATCACGGGCATGTCACGGGACCATGATCCGTTCTACGGTGCACGGGGTTGCCATGAGTCAGCGGCCAGCTCAACAACACTGAAGAAACCATACCTGTGGAGGTGGGGATATGGCCTTTGCCCTCCCTCTCCATCTCAATCATTCGAAGGCCTCTCTCCACATAGTTCTGGAAGAACTGTGAGGAATTTTTTAGAAACGGTTCAATATCAGCATCTGAGTATTTTTTCTTATATTCATACAATTCTGCTAGACCCTAGTCAAAAGGAAAAGGGGTAGAAATGGATGTTAGTTAGTGTCCCTTTTGCATAAAGCAGATCCCAACATGGCTTAACTCTTCCCCGCTCACCTCTTTAGTGTTCTCTTTGGAGCCAATCTTCTTAAAAATCTCAGCTAAGAAATCATTCACTTTGGCCTTGGATGATTTTTCATCCTGAAAAGTTGAAAGACACCAAGAAGGACTAGTTAGCCTTGAGTTATTAATTAAGGAACCAATAACTGGATATGTACTGAAAACATCTCAGAATCTGGAGCTTATTAGTTATGTTCTTGCAGACATACTACAGGAAGCCCAAACACTACAGGGTCTGTGGTGGAAACACTAACAATCTGGGTTTTCAATTACACTTGATGAAGGACCTGGACCATTCCTTCCCAATTAAATGGAACTGACAGTGGATTTATCTGGAGACCAATACCTTAGGCACTGTGGTAGTTACGTTTGTGTGTCAACTTGGCTGGACCTGGTTGAGTGGCTGGGCAGCTGGTGGTAGTTATTCCCCATGATGAGACTGGCAATCAACTCCAGGGTGGGATCTACCACAAGCAGCTGAGTAACTGCCTTTGGGATGTGGTCTGCTTCCTGTATTTAAGGAGAAGCTTTGAGAATGGTCTCTAGCCTATGGCACGCTTGGCCCCTGCATGTAGCCGTGTCATTGTTCAGCAGCCTGCTATGCTCTGCTGACCTTGGGATTTACAATGACTTAAGTTAATGGCCTGCCATGTGGTTTGGTAACATCAAGTCTGTGCCTTTTTACTTGTCAACCTTGGGGCTTCTCAGCCTCAGCAGCCAGCAGCTGTCTGAGTGAAGAAATGCCTCAAACTTCAGTGGGCCAGGAGCAGGAGGCAGAGCTGGATCCCAAGGTTGAGGGGCTTTCACCCAGCCCATAGAGCCTGGTACTTTGAACTTGGACTTAAAGCCTCCAAATTGTAAGAATAAACTCCTGTTTGTTAAGGCTATCCCATTCATGGTATATTCTTGTCAGAGCGACACTAGGTAACCAGAACAGGCACATACATAGAAACTTTCCTTGGGGACCAAGAAGCACATGGTTATAATATATTAAAAAATTTCAAGGTAGAAATAGTTACAGCACTATAGCAGGAGATTGATTATACTGGTTCTTGAACCTTCACCTTTGGCTCAAAGAAGGACAGGCTCCAGTTGGCTTATACCTTAGATCACTTCTGGTATCACCTCATTTCCCTCAGCCCTCCTTCCAGTCAGGACACTCACTATTCGAGATGCTCCCTTTTCTGTTTCCTTATCAGATTTGCTCCCGGTCTGGTCCATACTGTGCTTCATCATGCGGCAGAGGTGGGCCTCCAGCTCAGACTCATTCTTGTTGTCAATCATTGTTAGGTGGTCCAGGATCTGAGGGAGACATATGCATATTCAAATGGTAGTAATGCCACGTCCGTGATGTTCTCTCAAGCTTGTGCAGGGACCAGGTCCTGTTCTTGCTCACCTTGGGCCCTTTTAATTTGCATAAGGTATGCAGCAGAGTCTTTAGGGTCCTTATGGGAAATTCACTTTTGCACTGCTTCAGCTTCTCTTTGGGAAAGACCTTCATGAAAATGTGTATATCCAGAAGAATTCTGTCCAGATTAATGCTGTTGATGGTATCAGGCAAGAGTCGAACCATTCTCCAGAGACACTATTGAAAAGTAAAACCAATGTTTAAAAGGAGTGACTGTAAAATGAGGATCATTTCTGCCACCATTCATCTTCCCTAAGCTCTGGGACCATTTCTAAAAGATGGTCAAGGATATATTTGTAGAACATCATGTCTTTCAAGTTCAGCTACTAAACCACATCAACCATGTCACTGGCTGGTGTGACAAGTTAGCCCTCTACCTTCCTCACTCCTACCACCCAATTGCTCTCCAAGATAAGGGCTTTAAATGATTGTGAAAATGTGGAACTTCTGTCCTGGGTGTGATTGGGACCTGGGAGTAGACTGCTTACTCAAACTTAATCTGAGGAGACAAAGCATCTTACCCTGTTACAGTGGAGTAACAATATTACCATGTCATGTTGTTGTTGCTATCAAGTCAATTCCGACTCAGTGACAGACTGAGTCACTGTGACAGAGGAGAACTGCCCCAGAGGGTTTCCTAGGCCGAAATCTTTACAGGAGCAGAGTGCCAGGTCTTTTCTTAAACTACTGGTGGTTCAAACTGTTGACCTTTCGGTTAGCAGCTGAGGGCCACTGTCCATGGCTTCTTTTACAGTGTCATAGATATGTTTAGTTGGAGTCTTCCACTAAACACAAAAATATTATAGGACTATACATATCTTTTTTTCTACACAGAAATGAAATCTGTCTCAAAAAAAAGCCATTAATTTCTAAGACTGGGTTCCAAACTTCTTGCCTTTTGATTCTAGGAGAATTGGCAAGATATTTAAAAACTAGCTCCTCCTTTTCACTCTTTCTGAGGCCAGTATCATACAGGAATCGTTCGTTTAGGCATGGACTTGGGGCATAAACTGGAGAAAGGGAAAACTGAAGACCAACCACTTCTTCAAGTGGGTGTTGGTTGGACTGTGTCTATGCCTTATCTCTAACGCCCCTCTCCTCACACTTTAACAAGTGAGTGCATCTTTGAAAGAGATGAGATCAAATCATTTCAACTTCACCTTCATAACAAGCTCTGAGAATTTGGGAGAACTGGCTGTTGCTAGTAGACTGTCTTGGAGCAAAACAAGTAGGGCACTGGAAAAAACAAATACAATACCATGAATTTCAAATGTGCATTCCACCTAAAATCAGTAACTGAAGGCAATTATACGTTTACAGTCCTAGTCTAGAAACTCCTAATCTTGGATGGCTTACTGAGTTGTTGCTGGATTTAGCTTCTGTCTCAAGGCTGGATTACCTCTGGCCCATAAGGAAAAGAAGAGTAATAAATTGCCTTATTAGGCAAACGTAAAGTTACAACTGATCTAGTGACTTTCTGGTTTTTCGGTGTAGACAAAAGAGAGGCCGTTCTAGGTTCTAATGCTGACAGAACAGATTTACCTCAGAATGTTGGTCTGGTCTGATTTCTCTAGAACCTTCACCACCAATAGGTTCACAGAGCGAATCACTTGCTGTCCTTCTTCTAGATCTTCAATTCTAGAATCCAGCATTAGGGTGATGAGGCCATGCATCAGGTCCTTCAGTACTCCAGTTGAGGCCTCCCGGGCTAGACTCTCTATCTGAAACAGCTACCCAAGCACAACTGTGTTAGGGAGGTATATAACTCAATACGTGGATTAAAGAAGATAAACGTAGGTGGCATAAATATGTATTTTCAATAATTTATTTGTTGTTGTTGAGGACATATACAACAGAACATACACCAATTCAATAATTTCTCCATGTACATACAATTCAGTGACACTGATAACTTTCTTCAAGTTGTACAACCATTTTCACCCTCCTTTTCCAAACTGTTCGTCCTCCATTTAACATAAAGTCACTGCCCTCTAAATTTCCTATCTAATCTTCCATGTTGTTGTCCTTTGTGGGTGGCATATTCTAATAAACACTTAATCATATATATATATCTCTATATATCTATATCTATATATATATATATGGCATATTCTAATAAACACTTAATCATATATATATATATATATATATATATATATATATATTCAACCATACTTTTAAAAATTCAAAGTATTGAGAAAAAATAAAAACCAACACAATCCCCTATAGCCACGAGTAATAACCAAAATTAATTGATGTGCTTCCTTGGTTTATAAAATATTTCTAACATGAGCATACTCATCTGTGCAAAGCTAGCTGGGACCCACCATGCCTGATGAAGAAACTGACAAGAAGCAGAATTTTAGGTAGTCTGAAGCATTCTATTTTATATCCTAAGAATAAGGTAAGCTGGAATATAGTCTAGTATCCAACGTAAGTAGTCAGTGGCTTGCTGTACCACACGTGTACAATTCTACCAAGAGACACAGGACTCACTGGAACACCTGCACTGACCTGGGCTTTAGGCTTTGGGTGGAGTGAGGGATTGGAGGTGCCCTTACCGAAATCATGTTGCCAATGATACAGCTGTACAACTTGATGATCTCATCCTTCTCCAGTTTCTCATCTGCCATGTGTGTGTTATAGATGAGTCTTAGCTGCATGAACGTGGCTATCAGAAACTGATCAATATGGCCAGACATAGCTTCAGCTTTGTCTTCCTGTCTCAGGACCTCATCAATCTGATAACAAAAAATCCAAGATGTATTTTCCAAACTTCATACTTCTAAATAGCAGAAGACACTGCAAGGAACTCATCTGAAAGAGTATTTATTGGCAAAGCACTTCTAATATATTAGCTAGAAAAAACCCAGTCACTTAACATACAAATAACTAGTCCTTTGGGATTCAATCATTCAGTAAATATTTACTGAGCAAGACACTCTCAGGTGAATCAGTTACAGATCCTATTCCAATAATCCCTATGCTTAACTGTTCAATTTGTAAGAGTGCTTTTATACCCATTATCTTTTGATCATCCCAGTAGCTACTGCAAGGTAGACAGGGCTGAGAGTAAGGTATCTATTTACCAGACGAGAAAAACGAGGTTCAGAAAGATCAGACTACTGAGTCCAACACAAAAGTTGGGTCTCCCACATTTTGGTGCAGTGCTCTTTTTGGTTCAGTACACTGATTGTCACTAATGGTAACATGTTACTGGGGGGATAAACAAATCTATTCACTATAGTAAAAATAGCTTTATTTTTACAATTTTATAAATTACATACATTATGTTCTGCAATAACCATAATCAATCTTCAGTGACTAAGCTTTTATGCAGGGCTGTCACAATGCACAATTCCACAACTCCAAGGGGCACCAAATTTCAGTGTAGCCCATGTTCCAGGAGGCAGCATTTCTATACACTATAACATGAATGGTGCCTCTGGAATCCTGGAAGCCAGTAGTCCTTTCATTTCTTTATGCATGCACACCCCACAGGCACATACACACAGGTTTGTATAACTGAGATGATTTAACATTGCTGTTTCAACATGGTCAACATAAAAAAAAAAATACTGTATTTTATTGGAGCGCTTACTCCTCAAGGAGTCCTGGTGGTGCAGTGGTTAAACACTGGCTGCTAACTGAAAGCTTGGCAGTTTGAACCCACCAGAGACTCCATGGGAGAAAGATGTGGTGGTCTGCTTCCAAAAAGATTTCCAGCCTTGGAAATCCTATGGGGCAGTTCAACTTTGTCCTACAGGGTTGTTAAGAGTTGGAATCAAGGGCAGTAGGTTTGATTTTGTTTGTGGCTTATTCTCTACCTTTTACTGAGGTAACTAACATTAAGAACCTGATATATATTCTTTCATGTTCACAGAATTATATACAACCACAAATGCACACACAGAGAGGGTCAAGATTTGGCCCACTGTTCACTGTACAAGAGTACTACAGCATATATACACTTCTCTGCATCTCTCTCACTCCACAGAAACTTGTGAAATCCTTAAATCAACAGGAACAGTTTCTGTGTGTGTGTGTGTATGTGTGATTTGGATGAAAGTTTACAGAGCAAATTCATTTTCCATACAGCATTTCATACACATTTTGTTTCATTACAAACTGCAATTCCCCACAATGTAACAGCTCTCTTTCTACTTTCTCCCCACAACCTCTTCCCTGTGTCCTTCCCTATCATGCATTCCCACCCCTGAGCTATCTCTCCCTGTGCAAACAAATTCTAATTAATTTTTAAAGACTACATCAGTCCATGTATGTATGTACCAAAATTTATTCAATCATTCCCTCACTGATGAACTTTTAGTGTGTTTCTAGTTTGTTTTTTGTTCACTACAAAAGTTACAATAAACACCTCGTGTATTACACTACTCTTTGTATTTAAGTATTTTGCAGGGAGGTACTATGAAACTATGCAAATATTCCATGTCTCTTAAAAGTTTTAATTAATTAATACGTGCATGAACTGTTTTTGTTGTTGTTATGTGCCGTCAAGTCGGACCCGACTCATAGCGACCCCTCCTTGGGTTTCTGAGGCAGTATCACTACAGAAGTAGATTGCCCCATCTTCCTTCCGAAGAGCGGCTGGTGGGTTTGAACCGCCAGCCTCCTGGTTAGCGGTCAAATGCCCTGTGCTACCAAAGCTCCTTCAATAAATTTACTGAATTTTATTTGACCTGTAACTCATTACTATCATTATTTATTTTGTACTCCAGTTGTCTCTATCCAGACATAGGAGGCAATTCCAACTGACTTCTGTGTCCTTCGGACATATCCCTATCATTCCTTGAGCCTCTTCTTGTTTGCCACCATAAGATGTTCTAGGCTCATCTTGTATTTTCTCTAACTCAGCCCTGGAATTGGCCATTTCTCCAAGGAGCCCTCATTCCTCTTAGTGGAAAGATATTTATATGACAAATATCTAGACACTAGGTATGCTCATGATTCTTCTGTGGATTGGGATTCTGTTGTGCTGCCTACAACTGTCCATGAGTGAACAATCCACCATTCAGCTTGAAGATCTTGGATTCGTCATTCGTTGGAGTCAACAGCCGGTGTACTGCCTGCCTACCTTAAGCTCCTCAGCCTCTGTGGCTGCAAGAGTCGGGAAAAGCTTCCAGCTTGACGTTTGATCCAGGAACTTTGGACTTGCCAGCTTCTATAAATGTAGGCAGTATTACTACGGAAGTAGATTGCCCAACCTAGGGAGTGGCACTTCAGGATCAACATTGTATGCATACAACGAACCTGCTCTTCTACCACAAAAACCATTATTTCCTGAAGAAATTGCTATTTTCAACTGAGACTTGAATCAGAGAGATATATACCACAGTAAGTAGCCAACTTCTATGGTTGGAGAATGAAAGGGATATATTCCCAAACTAGTTCCTAAATAGTATTTCGAACTCTCTCAGAATCTCTGTTTTGTCTCTGTAAATAAAATTTGTAGTTGGAAATGAGATCAAAGTTTATGCAGTGTGTGAGTAAGTCTAACCAACACTTTGCAAGTGAGATTGTATTCTTCTTCTTTGAATCACTTCAGAAGAAACTTTGGAATCTGCTCTGGCTATTCCACAATAGGGCTAAATATTTAGGTATCAATATTGTTCAAATGTTTCAGTGTGGGAAGTAAATTTTTTTTTATCTACAGTTAAGTTTATAGCTACTAGAAAGGAAGTATCATGCTTATTGCTCACCCAAGAGAAAGCTTTCTTAAGAAATTAATGGCTTCATTTTCAAAGAATGAGAGACATCGAAATGGCAAAGGATCATGGGCTCTGAGTTTGAGCTCAGGCGAAGATAAGTTTTAAGTAAGGACTTCACCTAGCAATGAAATGTTCATAGTCACTGAAAAGAGTCATGCTTTTTTAGTCACTTGGACTTTTATGCTATCTTGTGTAAGTTGGAAAAAGAGAGCTTACTTGCATGTGCTTGCATGAGCAGTTAAATGTGTTAACTAAAACACTTAGGGCTATTTATAAGTGGCTACTTTAGTGCATAGAGGTCGTAGGAGGGGCAGAGATGGTGATTAAGATTTTTTATGCATCTTTGTGTATTGCTTCACTTGTTATAGCATTCATCTACTACTTTCATAACTTAAAAAATCAGAACCTACTTTCAATGAACTTACTATTCCATAAAAAAGATTAAATCATTTTTTCCTAAAGTTACAGTAGGTAGTAGGCTTTTCAGAAAAAGTTATGATTTGTTGAAGGTTGTGTTTACAATCATAAAATCATACATATGGTTTTAAGATTGTTTCTATAGCTCATTCTTCAGTATCACTGAGGAACCTCAAACCATAAAAGTGATGGCCCACACCTCCTGAACAGGTGAAAATGTGCTGTGACTATTGCAAGAGCACATGAATACATCACTAATGTTAAATGGAGCTTTTTTTTACTTGTGGCTTGTCTTCTTACACTCAAGATAGAGGAATATTCATGTAACAAGAAAATTACCTAAGAAAGGAATCATCTTGTGCAGTCCTAAAAATTCTTGCCTTCCAGATCAAATCAGGAACAGAATTTCTTCCTCTGACAAATGAAACCCCCTGACTGTCAACACATAAAACCTGAAGTTATAGAAGACTTTAGCATTTGCCCAGGGACAAAGTTCAGAAGGCAAGAAAGGATAGGAAAGAAAGAGGTATGGAAATGGTAAACATGCGGAAGAAGTGGGAAGAGTGCCGTCACATCATGGGGACTACATTTAATGTCACGACACAAAACATGCATGAAGAGTTCATGGAAAACCAATTTTTCTCTGTAAAGTTTCACTCAAAACACATTAAAAAATCAAAAGAAAGAATCATTCTAATGCAAGTTCCTCCTTTTATAGAAAAGGCAACTGTAACCCATAGGTATTAAGTGACTATCACACAGTTAATAAGTAAATTCCCAGGCCACAGTTTTTATTTTCCATTATACCCTCCAAATCCTGCTCTTGCAACTTTGCAGCCACCAGGGGTACAGGGATATGAAATAGAAATGTCCTTTAACATTCCTTGACAGAATATTGTAAGAAGAAAATGTGACTTTTAGAGTTCTTTTTTCATTTAAGTTTATGTTGTGGAAAAACAAAATGGCACCTTATAAGCAACATCTATAGCTTTAAGCAAATAAAGGTAGATGACTTTGAAACATAGTAAAACTAAACATGTGTTTCTTTATAGGACATTAATTTGTGCTAAATTGTGCAGTTATAATAATCATTGAAATGTATAAATGCTTTCTATAACTGAAGAGAAACTCAAAATTGCAATAATGTAGTAAACAAAATAGGAGTGAATTTGGTTAGGACTACTTGCAATTATCAAAATAACAGAATCATATTTAGTTCAGTCATATTTAGTTTCCATTTTTATTTGTGATCTCATATCCAATTTTCATGATTGTACACTTTGAGCATTTTGAGAATTACTAAAGCATGTCAAAGACTGTAAACACAGAATATTGAAAAAAGAAGGAAGAATAATATGAATTTTCAGAATAGAGGAGGCATTAAAATTCCTATATTGTTTGCTTATGACAAAAAAAAATGAAGAAAAATTGGCACTATTAGTTCATTCTCATGATAAAGTTTACAAAAGAAAAACAAAACATATGGATATAAATCCTTTTCTACGACAATTTTTATACCTTGCATGATAAGGAGTGCCCTAATTGTTAACTTCATCTTAGAAAGAATCAATATAATAGCACAATTCATTCCA